CGGCCGGGCCCGCAGCATGGCGGAACCCGCCGGGCCGCCCCCGCCGGCCGTTTTCTTCGGGGCCGTAGCGCCGGGTAACCCGGTGGTAGACAGCTTGGAAGCCGAGCTGCGAGACGTTCTGAGCTCCCTGCGGCGGCTGGGAGGCGAGGGGGAGGCCGAGCCGCAGCAGCACGACCTGCACCGCCGCGGGTAGGGGCTGTCTCCTCATCGTCCCCGCGTCGCCAACCGCCCCGGGAACCGCTCGCCGTTCCCGCCTGCCCCTGCCTCAAAACCTCCCCTTCCCTCACCGCTCCCCTCTTGCTTCCTTCGCTCTCCGCCTCCAGCCCCTTCCCCTCGGCCTCCCCTCACCCGCGTCCCACAGGCCAGGCAGCCCCTTCCCTCCCTGTTGTTCACCTGTGCCAAAACCCCCGCCATCCCCCTCCCCCCCCCCCTTTTTTTTTTAAAAATAATTAACCCCCCCTCCAAAACCTGAACATCCCCCTTTTTTCAGCACTTCCTAGAAGTGAAGGCTTCATGGGAAAAGCACGAGGTGGTGTGGAAGTTGGCAGCACCGCTGTTGGCTGTATCAATCAGAGCTGCCTGAGCTTTCTGGTAGGAAAATCCCTTCCCAGCGCTGGAGCAACTGGCAGCCCACCAGCATGTGGTACTGCGTGCGAGGGTGAATACTTGTGGGCACGTACGTGCCTTTAAAAGATGCGCTCGCAGTAGGGCTACGTGAGGATAACGCCACGCAGCTCTTTCCGTGCATATGTCTGTGTCTACGTTGGTGTATTTTTATACACATAGATGCAGGCAGAGCATATGGCAAGTATAATTGCGCATATTTGTTTGCTCGCATACATGCAGATCTGTGGGTATGCATAAATCTAGATTTTGTAATGCAGTTAAGATAGAGCAACTGGAATGGGTGTATGATTCATAGTGCGTGCATATGTCTTGTACAGACTGTGCATTTCTCATGTAGCTCTCCCTATTGCATTTAGGCACATTATGAGGTAAGAGTTCAACTGCTTCTTTTAAGGTAAATGGTTGGTTTTCTATCGTTATTATCTGAGCAGTGTCCTATTCTAAATTTACAACATAAAACCCGAAAGTTTCCCAGGTTACCAAAATGTAATTCAAAACCAGCACAGGAGTTAGGTTACAGGGTGGTTAGTTTATCTCTTAGGTGCAGCTTCTACCCTTATGTATTTCACTCAGTACTTTCCTAGATGTAGTCCACAAATGACCCTTCCCCAAAGGAGCTGTGTACATTTTCAGGAGGTACTCAGATTCTGCAGCCAGGCATTTGTCTGCACTGGAGATCTCTCCTTTTCTAAGCTGTCTGGATTTCTAATTTATTTATATGGCATGTTCATCTTTAGGTCTAGGTCTATCATACAGGTATCAGTCCCCAGGCTTTTCCCTCTAGTGTTTTGAATCTCAGTGTGTTGGCTTTTCATATTGCTTCAGCAGCTGATTTCAGTGCTTTGCTATTTTTAAGCCTTTCTGTAGCTTTAGACTTTTTTTTTTTTTGCTTTAGCTGCTCTGTACTCTTTACTTTGAAAGTTATCCCCTCTAGGCCCCTTAAAAGAAGGAATGCCACTCAGCTGCTTCAGACACCACCAAAATTGCTGATAATGAACACATTTATTGTATCTTCTACACATTCATCGTATCTTCTGGTTGGGAGCTGGGCACCCTGAATCTGATCTGTTTGCAATGTCATGCCAAGTTACCAGTTTTTGTGAACAGTGTCTCCAAGCCTTTCTTTACTTTGCCCTCTAGAATATTTTGACCTGAGTAGGCTCTGCCTTACTTGAACTGGTACTCTGTAGATGTGACCCATGTCCACACATAACTTGGTTGGCATGAGAGCATTTTCTCATCTGGAGAATTCTGCAGCATTCATCATGGAGTTGAGAACTAATGCTACCTCGGTCTTGATCACAGAAGTCACTGGTAATGATGATCCATACCAAAATTCCAGAGCATTGAGAACATCGTGTAACACGAAGCTCCCAGTAGCTCTGCATCCTCCCGTGTTCTTCATTTGTATAGGGGCAGTACAGAGGTAGAAGACTGAAAATCTGATTATTAGCGTATGTTCAGGCAGCTAGCAAAGTCATGAGTATTTATTTGTGACTGTGAAATTTCAGGGTTGTTTCTCCCTTGCTTCATTGTTTGATAACTCAAAAATGGAGTGTGTGCTGCTTGTAGAACCAGCCTTAGTCTAGTTGTTCCTAATAATTTCTGAAGGTAATGGCTATTACAGATGCTTTCCTAAATGCTCTAAAGACTGCTTGCTGTGTCATTTGTCAAGCTACTTTTCCTGGTATGGGTTCACATCAAAGCGTTCTTGTTATTTGAGGAACAAGAAAACCAGCTTCCACAGGGCAAGTATGTTCAGTTTAGAAAAATAAAATTGTCAGCTTCCTTCCTCCAATGCTGTCAGCCTTTGGTGTTGATAAGTCAACAGTAAGGCTGTAATTTAGGTACTTAAAATGTTCTAATGTAAAAAACCAAAAATTACTGAGGACCTGCCCTGTACTGGAATCACGAATCTTTTCAATCAGAAGAAGTAGCAATCAAAAGTATTTTTCCCTCAACTAAACGAGGAGTTGTTTTACCCCATTCCTCTGGGCAAGGAGGCCATCAAAAGATTACCTTGAGCTATTGATTTTCTCTCATGTTGTGTGGCTTAGCCACCCTTATTTAATGATATCTTTTGATCAGTATCAGAGAATTCTTTACTGCCTGTAGTGAAGACTTTTGGCTCAGAAGTATAGCCATGTGGGCCTTACCCTGTGCACACTATTACAGGTTGACCTTAGGGAAATTTTTTTTATTATTCATAGAGTGGTTGGAAATAATGAAACTTCACCTCTGAGCTCCAATAGCCCAGTATTTTTTTTAAGAAATCACTTGCTTAACTTGTTATTCTGGTGTCCTACAGCCTGTTTAAAGGAAAGGCTGATGAGCTGTTTGGGAAGTGTCTCACTCTCCTCCTTTGTCTGTGTCAAAGAAACATTCCTGTATCATGAACTCAACTTGTAGTTAGTCATGGCATTGTAGCAGATAAGGTTTACCTTAACGTTCCCATTGAAGTTGAAAGTCTAGTCAGATTTGTCACTACTTTACTAAAGTAATTTATTACAGATTTGTTACTCGCTTATCACATCTAAGAATCTCGTGTTAATATGAACATTCAAAACAAAAAATCAAGATGACCATTACTGGGGACTTTTCAGCTGATCAGTCTTAAATTTATTAGTCTCACCTTCCAGAGCTTTATCCACAGTCATTCTTACTATCAGTAACTTTACAGCCCTACAACCTGATAATTACCCTTTTTTTCCCTTCTTTCTCCCTCCACCCCAGAGTATCCATCAAACCTCTTGGACTCTGTAAGTCTTTTCCTAACCTTCTTCCTTTGATGGTCCAAGGGAACTCTGCTCAGATGTGTAACAGATTTCTTCTCTCTGCAGCCTGTTTTGGGTTTGTGTGGTGGGGTTTTGATGGCAGGGGAGGAGCTGCAGGGCCGGCTCCTGTGAGAAGCTGCTAGAAGCTTCCCCAGCTTCAAGCTGGACCCACCTCTGGCCCAAGGCCGAGCCCATCGGTGACAGTGGTAACACCTGTGGGAGAACAGATTTAAGAGGGGAAACCTGCAGTGGGGGAAGAGATTGGAATGTGAAACCCCTGTGCAGATACCTAGGTCAGTGAAGGAGGGGAGGAGGGGATGCCCCTGCAGCTCATGGCGAGATGGCAGGCTGTCCCTCCCCAGCCCATGGAGGGGAGCAGGGAAGCAGATGCCTACCTGCAGCCTGGGGAGAGAGGAGCCCATGCTGGAGCAGGGGGATGGATGCCCCCCCAAGATGGCTGGGACTCTATGGGAAAGCCCGTGCTGGAGCAGGCTGTGCCTGAAGGACTGCAGCCCGTGGAAGGAACCCACGCTGGAGCAGTTTGGGAAGAACTGCAGCCTGAGGGAAAGACCCATGTTGGAGAAGTTTGTGGAGGACTGTCTCCTGTGGGAGGGACTCCATGCTGGAGCAGGGGCCGAGTGAGGAGTCCTCCTCCTGAGGAGGAAGGAGTGGCAGAGACAAGGTGTGAGGAACTGACCCCAACCCCCATTCCCTGTCCCCCTGTGCTGCCAAGGGAAGGAGGTGGAGAATTCAGGAATGAAGTTAAGCCCAGGAAGAAGGGAAGGGTGAGGGGAAGGTGTTTTGAGATTCGCTTTTACTTCCTATTATCCTTGTTTTGATTTGATTGGTAGTAAATTAAATTGATTTTGTTTCTTTCCTAAGTTGAGCCTAAGTTTTGCCCATGACCATAAGTGAGGAGTGATCCCTCCCTGTCCCTGTCTTGACCCACGAGCATTTCTTTTTATTTTTTCCTCCTCAACTCACTGGGGCTGGAGGGAGGAGTGAGTGAGAAGTTTCGTCATGCTTTGTTACCAGCTGGGCTTAAACCACGACATAGCCTCTTTGCAGATTTATGCTTACTAACTGGAGTGGGGTACTTCTCTCAGTATAAGTCAGCAGCCACCCAGGCTGTTAATTGCTTATGGATGGACGGACCAGGAGGGACTCATTCCCCATTTGGAAGGTGCTCTTCATTAAACTGGGCTATGGTTTCCTTTAAAAACATAACGCCTTAGAACGTTTTACCCAGATTGTTGCTTTTGGCCTAGTTTGTGCTGTTACTGCATTTTTCATTTAGGATACACCTCTAGAATGTCCTACTTATTTCTTCACTACTTACTTTCAAGAACTGAGAATTGTGCCGAGATGGTACTTTTAGAAAAAAAGGATTATGGCTGTTGTAATTCTTTGGTGCAAAGATCATTTTGACTGGTTTCTCATACAGCCATCTGTTTCACCTTGAAATGTGAAGCCTTCTGTGTGGAAAAAATGATGGTACTTATTGTGCCTTTTTTTTTACCGGGAGCTGTCTTATAAGCTGAAATGAAGAGCTGTCTGGGAGACTGTGAGAATGGATTCCAAGTTCCTGAATGTCAGAAAACAGTTTAAGAAAGTGTCTTGCATTCTAGTCTACCATCACTGTCTTGAGAGATTGAAAAGTTCCGCTACCTCACACCAGTAAGGATAAGGTTTACATGTGAGAATTCACCTAGAAGGTGATTTTCAAACATTAATTCCGCTCTCTTCAGTTGTTTTCCTTCCTTATAAATTGCTACCTATGAATAATTTAGCTGTTGTGGTTTCACAAGGCACTCTTTACTGAGGTTTCTGTACAAGTGATTTGTTAAGAGAATAAATGTAAGAGAGGCCTGGAACTGTCAACACTGTCAATACTATTAATAATTTGGTAACAGGATTTTTTTCTGAAAAATCCCTGTGCTTATTATCAGTCTGTCTGATCAATTATTGTTTTCCACTTTGAATATAGCTTTCTTGAAAAAGTCTAGAGTGGGCAAGTTGTACACATGAGGGCACTAGCCCATCAAAGAGCAGTCAGAAGGTACTGTAATACTGGTGTGATGTAGTCAGTTCCTCTGTAGAGGAGGCAAACTGCTTAGAGCCAGTTACCTTTTATGGGAGGCTTGCTGGTTCTGCCAAGTAAGTAATTTGTTACACAAAGTCATCATTGATGACAACTGTGGCTGGAATAACAGGCAGAGGCAACAGAAGAGCATTGCAGCTATTGCCATAAAATCCTTTCTATTTTAACAAATGTGTCATTTGCTTCTCTCTGAATCCTACCCTTTATGATTTAAAATTCCTGAACATTTCATGCCAAATGCAGGTCGTGCTAGAGGCTTTTTAATGACTTTCTTTTTTTGTGATTCGTGGTATAGCTCTGTATACCATAGCTCTATATACTTTATAGCTCTATGGTTTATTCCATGGCTACCAGTTCCCAACTTTGCTGCTACCTGGCATGCATTGTTATTTTGGGATCTTTTTTCCTGCTCTTAGCATTTGTAGTTTCCGGTCTAATAATTGCTGTGAGCTGTAATTCACTGAGTTTCTTTAAAATATCAAATTGCTTCTTCAAACAGAATTTTTCAAATACTAGCTGAAAGGTGCGGCAGATTTTCCACTTGTGACCATGTTTGAACAATGCAAGGGGATTAATACTAAGACATTTTAATAAGAATTTACACAGGAGAAAATTCATCCTATTTTAAACGTGTGATAAAAACTCGTGACAGAAATGAAACCCAGAAATGTCCTTGGCTGCCTGTTAAATCCAGTTTTAATGATCACTTGTTTTGAAGTATGTAGAGGTTCAAATAGATTTGGAAGAAAGGAGTTTTCACAATTTGAAGTTTTCCTGATTTGTTTACTTGTTATATCTTGTTTACAGTTTAATCTGAAACCTTTTCTCCTGTATCTTTTTTAGAGCAAATACTTTGTTTAATATTTGGATCAAATATAAGCCTCGACTGCCAGAGTGGTATTACAATGAAAAACTTCTGAAAGTTGGTGATTCCCTTGCTCAGATCAAAGTAAGTCATATGAAAACAGAAAAGGCTCAGTCACAGTCTTTGTTTCATTATGTTTCTATGCCACTTTAATTTTTAATCATTTTTACTGGAAGCTATTTAGAAAGTAACAAGAACTTTTACAAAATAATTCCAGTGAGAGCTGGTGGTTTGTATCTCATATTATTGTAAAATTGCTCTGATTTTTTGATATATTTTCTATATCTGTATTTTCTGTGCACCCATTGCCTTTTTAAACACCCCAAAATCGTTCTTTAATATTTGTTTGATGTTTCAGCGTGGTAGAGTACAATATCTGACTGTGCCTATAGGTGCTGCTTAAGTACAAATTGATAATGGGAGCAGTGGTGGTTTGTTCCACTGAAATGTCAACTCAGTGCTCAGTTAACCAAACGTGAATGTAAAGAATGGTCAGGAGAGGAACAGAGAACAAAAACCAGAGTGCAATTACACATCATACAACTGTATGTATTGACGGTGCTCCTGCATCTTGAATTCTGTGTGCACTTCTGGTCTCCTCCAAAAAAGTAAATTGCAACTAAAAAAGATGCGGGAGCTAGATTGTTGAAGACTTTGAGAGTATTTGGGGGATGTTTCACTACATGGTAACTCTATTTTTATACTCTTACCTAGACACCTGTTATTGGCTACTGTTGGAGATGGGATACTGGGCTAGTAACTATTGGTGTGACTCAATAAGGCTGTTTTTGTATTATATTCTTACATAATAATTGTCCTTTGTGTCTGCTGGGGGAAAAAGCCCTCAAAGGTGTGCTACTTATTACCTCAGTGATATTTGTGTCAGAAGATCATGTCGTAAAATCTGGGTCTTTCAAGGGTAATTACTAAACAACACTCAGAAGCAGCTCATAGATGTACAGTTGAAAGCTAGTTGCAAGTCATTCCTTTTAGGATTGAAGAAGGGTGTGTGGTCCTGAGTGATACAGTTATGAAGCAGAAATACTGAAGGATTACAGAATTATAGGTTAATTTATTATAAAGGTTCAATACTTGAAAACTTGCTTGAGAGAACACACTTAAAGTTTGTAGAGAATTAGCATAACTTAGAGTAAGGGACAGCTGCTGAATAGATGTTATCTGCTTAGTGTGATTTTGTGTTTGTAATGATCCATCAGTGGATTTTTCTACTTTTTGGCACAAACATGAGAAGATATTTATTTGGTCAATAATACTTTCCTAGCTTAAAACTCTGGCTATTTAGTCTGTCTGGGTTACGAGGCAGTCAAGTATATATTTCCCCTAGAAAAGAAGAGGGCATAATTGGAAATGTATCAAGATAGCTTGAGGGGCCATCTTTTGGAGGAACACATCCAGTGAAACTGTTCTTCCACTATTATGTCCTTTGCTTATGGAATCCAGCAAGGATAAATGCTATTTTATGCTATTTATGGAAAGTGTATATATGTGGCTACTAGGTGAGCTTTTCCACAGACCACGGCAAAGGTATGAGTATTATGCAGATGTTACAAAGTCTTGCATATCTTTCACTGCATCTGCCCTAAAGAATTCCACAAAAGTGGCCTGCCTTCTGAATAAAGAACAGCAAGTCGAAGCTAAACTTCAGCAGCACTCAACACTTATTGGTAGGTTGAAGAAGGCATATAGAAGAGTCCATAACTGTGGATCCATTATAATTGGAGGTATAGGCTCATGGTGTAGGTTTAGGAATACTCACAGAAATTCTTAACCTTCAATAACTGCATTTGTTAATAGCCTCTTTATTGACTAGGCAATTCCATTCATGTTTTCTTCATGTTCATGTTTTCCTTAAGTTTTCATAGCTTCTGGGCCCTAGGAATTGCTTAGAATATTGCATGAAGCTTTTAGTGCTTGGGAACTGCTGCTCTCAAAGCATACTCAGTAAGGTTATTTCAAATGCATCAAACCCTTCTTTCTGTACTTTACATTGGCTTCCCGTAGCACAACTCAAATGTAGTAATTTGGTCCTTATGTTCAAGGTGCTTAATGACCTGGCCCTAGATTGCATAAAAATAATCTAGAATTCTAAGTAAAGACTTCTGCTTGCGACTTCAATCCTCTAGTGTAATGTGGTTTTCTGCAGTAAAGATGAAGTTATCAGTGTTGTTGAAAAAGTTGTTTTGCTGGCCAGCCTAAAACTTTGAAATGAGCTGTCTGTGGAACTCACATTTCTATGTGCATTTCTTTGACTTTACAAACTTAGTTTTCATTCTATGAAATTTTTTCCCTGGAGAAAAAAAGGAACTAAAAACATGAGATGGATGTTAGTTATAGATTTTAATGCATTACTGGAAAGATGAATGTGGTGTAACACCAAGTTAAGCAGGCTAGAGCCTATTCCGTAAGTATCCCTCTTGACTCCTAGTTGAAAACTACTGGTGATTATTTCAAATTTTAAGCCACCTTTATGTTATATAATACTTAATGGTGCGTAGTCTTTAAAAATGACTTATTGAATATGAGTAGTCAATGGGTAAGCAGCAACTTAACTTTCTGTCCTCCTGCTATTTTTTTAATGCCTTCTCACTTTAGATTCCTTCCTATTATACATCTGCTATGTATCTTTTAGGACACACCTAAATTCATTATGTCATATATCTGGAAAGGAGTTAGCGCATTAGTCATCATACTCATCAGTACTGACTCATTTTTTTCCCCCTCCCCCTCTGCCTGTATCTGCCTGGTCATATACATATATTTTAAACTGTTTGGGAGAGAAATTACCTTTTTGTTCTATATCAGTAACTAGGTTAATAGTATTCTGATACATGACTTTGGATTTAAAGAGTTATCACAGCCTGAATCTAGCTATTAGATGATACAAATGACTGACTGCCCATAGCTGTCTGTGGAAAGTAAAAGTTTCTGTGTATGGCTGCTGCTTTCACACAGCAAAGAGGACAATAGGGCCATGTGAGTTAGACTCCTCAGATGATTAAAAATTCAAGGTAAGTGTTAGTGTGGTGGTAGAAATTTATATTAAAAAAAGTGAGTGCGAGGAAATACTTCTGAATTTCTGTGATTAAACACTAAAGGATCGTTTTTACGAATACAAATTGGTTACTTTTCCCCCCAGAATTTATCATGATTGTGCGTGTGTGTGTGTGTAGAATTAGTGAAGTTGGTAGAGAAACCTCTAAATAATCTTTGCTGCAGGAAGTGGTGGAGGTGATTCAGTAAATGGCACTTCTTCATCTGAGTCAGAGCTGAACCATAGACTCAGCATGATCTTAGAGTGGCTCAACATGCTGCTGGGGAGCAATATTTTGAATGAGACATAAAGCTCAACATCCTGTTTCTTAACAGTTCTTAAAGACCCAGTGGCAATTTCTGGTCTGTTAATGCTGACTTCTTGGCCACATGTAAATTCCGGTTGTCACTTGTTTAATTTTTTTTTAGTGCGTCTTATTCTTCCTCTTCTCTTCATCTCTGCTTCTATTAAAAAAAGGGGGTTGACATCAGGGAAATGGGAGAGAGAGAAGTGATGATGTCTGTATATTGTTTGTAAAGTTCTACATTATGAAGTACTTTTCTCAGAAGTGTAGTATCATTATCATTGTTTTGCAAAGATGCAGGACATTCCAGGAACCCTTTGAGTTTATTACATTAGCCCAGGATCATATTTACAATTGTTCTTTGATATGTCATATTTATGATTAAAATAAACAGAAACTCCCAAACCACAAGCTCTTCTTTTAAGTACTTCAACCTTTCGTATAGTGAGTGTTCGCATGAGAAATTACATTGCTAAATGTTTGTACAAAACTTGTGTTTTACTTCCAGCTGCTCTTTCACATTGATAAATTTTTTTACATAAAGATAATAAAAATAATATGTTTTATAGAAATCGAAGTGTAATATACAAACTATAAAAAGAACATATTATTCTTTCTTCAGGAATATAAGTTGGCACTTCTGCAGTGCTATGGAAGATACCTTCAGCAGTTCATTTCTGTAAACCTTGATAATATAAATGATGTGCATCAATTTAAATCCACCTTTTTTCCAAATGGTTTCAGAGACAAAAATGCAGCACTTACGGTAGGTCGTTTTGTTTTTTTTTTTTTGTCAAAGACATTCACAGATTCAAAATAAGTAGCCTATTTTATTCTCCACAAATGTACTTCATATTAATTAAATATTAACTAATCTTTAATAGTTTGTCAATATAGATTGTGTTGAGATTTAACAGTCATATGTATGATGTGAACATCCAGAGTTGGTGTACATTTTTGAGGATGTAAGTGCTTATGCTGTTGTGGCATAAGCCAACTACTATCAACTTAATGTTAAAAAGGCAATTTTATCTGAACGGGTTATTCTGTAACTGTCTACAGCAGTTTTTGCTCTGAAATAGTTGCTATTAACTGCTGTCAGAATCAGGATGTGGGCAAAACTTGATAACTGTCTTGCAATTGTAGAAATTTCTGTGTGATGTGATCTAAGAACTGGGCAGAGCACAGGAGAATTAAAACATTGTACTGTAGTTTGTACTATAAATGTGCAAAAATACTAAATGTAAAAAAAAGTCATGACAGTAAAAAAAGCAGCATTGCGTTACTATCAATAGCTTATTTGCTCACTATGAACAAAAGAGGCAGCATGCTGAATAGTTTTATAAGTGCTCTAAGCTCTGGGAAGCTGAGTGACCTCAAGAGTATGTTGCCATCTTTTTGTGTTAATTGCTTATCAAGGTAGGGGCTTGCAATTTATCATTTCTTATCCATGGAAGAGAGTGTTTGAGTAGGTATAGGGGGAATGCTAAAAACATGTTAGATGTTACCTTAAGCAGTTCTTTGCTGAGAAGCTCTGTTTTCAGTACATGGTGGATTTTTTAAAAGAAACTAATGCAAGTTATTCTGTGATCAAGAACAAAAAAGGAAACTGCAGGCATCTCCTGTGTATTGAGCTAATCAAATTTATATTCTTCTAGTCAGAGTTAGATTGTAAATAGGTGTTTAGTGAGGAGAAAAAAGCAGATGGTTCACTTAAAAGCTAGAAGCAGATGTCATGATAGAAAAGATACTCTGTTTATATATATATATCTCTCTCTTTTTCAAACATAGTTCAGTTTCCTAGAGAGAATATGATCAAAGACTATGTTAATCCATTTTATTTTGTTTTTTAAAAAAATGCCTTGTAAATAAATTTAAAGTTCCAGAGATGGTTTCTCCTGTTTTCTATATGTCTGCCTAGACCTTGAACCAATCATAGTGCCAGATGTTATCATGAGTCTATACTAAAATGCCTGTTTTATATCTCAGTGTCTAAATGCCAAGTTATCCCTAAATTTTCAGATATGGAATCTAGCCTGACAATGATCTCTACAATTGGAAATGGATAATGATAATGTGTCAAATGATTACATCTAAAGGCTTTATATGTAAATTTTTTTTTGCCAGGTTTCTGCAGCTAGCTTTTGTTTTTTAATTTAACACTAAGGAGATCATAGAAATGGAGTTCCATGGCTTGAAACTTCCAGTTTCAGCAAGTTAAATGCTAAAAATAATATAATTTCAAATATTACCAGGTTAGTAGGCTTCTGAGAGGTTGATAGGTACTGACTGGCTGTGTCCCACTTAACTTGCTTTCTCACCTGTTGGTTTCTTCAGGTGATGCTGTACTGTAGACGAGCCTGAGATCACATTATGTGAGGTATTACAAAGAAGAGAAGGAACAAAGCATCTGTAGAAAAGTTACGAGTGAGAAATAAGATATCTGTGATACAGATGGAGAAGTGCAGAAAAGTTAAGACTTGCCTTAATTTACAGAGGACTTCTACAGAGAAGCCAAGAATTAAATCCAGATTCTTTGAATATCAGTTTAATGCCTCATTCATCCTTTCTCCCTACGCCCCTTTCAGCAGCTCTAGTGTACTAGGTGCATTTTTGTCCTGTGACACAGTGGAAACGGACCCAGGCTAATTGTACAGCAGCCTTAAAGCTTTAGCACTTTCTCCATATTCTAATGCTCCTTTCAGTGTCACACTGATTTTTTTCTGGTATGCTTGATCTTTACATACTCACCATTTTGTTCTACTTTGCTGATGTGAAACTGACATATGCATCTATTTTAACTGTATACGTTAATTTAATGTATGTTTCCATGTATTTTAGTTCCATGCTTTGCAAGAGAGAAATGTTTGCATTTATCAGATGATTTGCAGCAGTGACAGAAATCTTCAGAACCCAGAGTCCCTGCAGACTTGTTTCAATGTCTTGTCCTCATTACGACTCACTATGCAAGTGGCTCTACCTCAGGAGAATTTGTGTTGGCTTATCTACAATGGTACCTCAGGCTTTCCATTTACATTTCTTTGCTAAGCAAACCTGTGGAGGGAAACTTTATACGTATTCTTCAAGGTCAACCTAAGGGTCGTGAATAAATCTCTAGATAGTCTTCAATCACAGCAGGTTTTTTGTAATTTTTTGTTTTTCTAAAATAAGGGATTTTTACATTGAAGGTTCTACATAGTATGCCTTTTTCAGGTGGACTGTTGTAAAAGTAATAGCTTTTTCATCATAACTGATCAGAGTGTACTAATAAAATGAAATCTAACAGCATAATAAGGGCATTTTTTGAGTGAACTCTAATTAAAAAAAAACAACCTTCAAGATTTTTTGGTCAATAAAATGTTTGTGTTAGAGTTCGGTTTGGGTTTTTTTGTTTTTTTGTTTTTTTTCCAAAAAGGGCATTGCAGATGTAATGTCAATCTTTTTCTACTTATATCTTTGTATTTTTTTAAATTAACTTTAAGGCTACAATTAATAATAAAACTATTCTAAAAATACTATGACATTTAAGAATTTGAATCTCTATGATTTTAGTGTGCTACTTAAATGCTTGAATTAGCAAAAAAATTGAGGAAAAAATGGAACTTCTGTGAACTAGATACAGAGAATTGTGTATCAAAATTTTTATTTCAAGAACAACAACAGTATATTTTTGCTTTAAAAGGCAATGTTATTTAGTCAAAAGACTATTATTAATTTGTTCTACTGTGGTCAATGGTTGCAATATAAATTAAGGAGATAGGTATTTAATTTTGGAAAATTTACTTTCTCCAAGGTATGATTGGTCAAAATTCTTACTGGGGCTGCCATTGCCCTCGGTCCCTACTTTTGAGGTGTCGGTTTGTTTGTCTGTTTCTATGGGAGAAGAATTAAAACTAGGATATACTCACCTGCCATTCTCAAGTCCCACTATCTGTGTGCGAGACAGGTCTTTGTACCAAACCTAGTCAATAGTCTAATCTGATTAGAAGTAGGCAATAACTCAGATTTTCCCCAGTTACTGAGCATTTTTCTGCAATTTCTGGAGTAGATTTTGTGCCTCATTACACATTTGACTGATAAAAAGAAATCTTCCTAATGCTTGCTCCATTCTTGGTTATTGGCATAATAACACCCTTCTAGCTAAGACAGTTGACATTGTGATGTCTCCCGCTGCCACAGGTGTCCTTTTCTGAACATTTATACAGACAGAAGAATAGACTTTTTCCCCCCCCCAGAACTGCACTATCTTTTATACTTCCAGGGCTGATTTTTGAAAAGCAATTTTGTGACATAGCCTAAATTAAGTAAAATTTTGACAGGATTTTATTTGTAAGTCACTTTGATGCTGTTGAAAACTCTAGTCACAATCAATTTTCTTCATTTCACTTATCATACTTAATATCACATAATAGTGGTGTTGTCTGCGAGGACAGTGCCATGACAGACTAAAAGATTCATGTAAGGTAAGGTCTGTGAGGAGAGCTAATATTTTCCTTAAAGAGGATAAAAATAAGATTTTTTTTTTCTCTTTCAGTTACTTAAAAATTTGTTATAGTACATTTCAAAAAGATTTCATTCTTTTGTTATACTCCTTCATTGCGTAGGTATTTTTGAAGCTAATATCGCCCAAGATTTTAAGAGCTTCATCTTCTCTAATTTAAAAGTAGTTACAGAAAAATCATTAGTTTATTTTTCAGCCTCTGGAAATAACAACCCAGATATTAAGAAAAATTTTCAGTTGGTTAGCTTAACAGATTTAATGTAGGATTATGGAACTTGCCTGTTTTTCATTTATTTTAATTTATTTTTGCAGGTACTATTCATATTTACACCATATGCAGACATTTGATGATGATAGGTCAGTCAGCAAAGGTATGGCAAAATAAATAGAAACATTTGAAAAATGTACAGAAGATTGGAAAATGCACCCATACTTTGCATAACACTGTACCCTGACTTTTCTATTTCAATGTCATTGCCAATAGTAGCACTTTGTCACAAGGGAATAAAATGTCTAGGTTGCAAAATGGCCGATTTCTAAGCCCTCCAGCCTTTGTGACTCTGCTCCTTCCTCAGTTGTGGGATAGACCCCAGCATAATGGCATGCTGGTCTTAGAGATGAGGTATGTTAGACTGTTGCAGAGGATTCTAGATGCTTGGTTTTGGATAACTGTAGCAAGTCCCAAGAATTGGCCTTTTGTTTCTTAAAATGTGGAAATGTACTGACACCTGGTGGCTAGGTTTTTAGTTGTAAATACTTGATAAAAATGATCTGGCCTTCCCCCCCTGCCCTTTTTAACTATGAATGTAATTTTTGTTTGTCTTGGCTTTACTTTTTTCTCCTAGAACTTGTACATAGTTTGACTCAGCCTTAATCCGGTATATTTTCTTATCTGTTGGTTATATTAATCTTTCATGGAGCAGGAAAGATATTTTTTTTCTTTGAACATTTATTGAAATCAGAAGTGATTTAACACCTCCTTTAACAGAGGAATTGATCATAGGTATTTCAGATTCTTTAAATTCAGACAAAAAGAAAACTTGTATATTGAATTAATTTAGGACTAAGGTTGTGCATATTTTGTGTACCTCGTGGAACAGCTGACCTGAAGAAAATACAAGGGGAAGATATTGTTCAATCAATTTAGTAGGACTAATTCTCAAAATTAAACTGCTGCAATGACTATGTTGGCCCTAAAGTTAAGAGCCGATAGTATGGTTCCATAGTTGTAAATTATTCTAAGCGCAGGCTGTCACCAAAGAAGGCAGACTCCATTGCATCCCAAATAAGCTTGCCGATCTAGCTGAAAGCTAACTTAGAAAAAAATGGTCACCAGAGCTGATACAAAGGAGAGGGATAACTCTCAAGAGCAGATGAGAGAGAAGGGTTGGACCTCTGTCTGGTGGCAAGGCTGTAGTGAACTGGAGTGGTTAAGGTAGTTTGGAGGCTAAAATATAATGCTTGACCACAGTTTCAGATGGGAAAACCCCAATAATATGCAGGATGAATGCTTTGTAGTCAATAAAACATGTTAAAAATTAATACAATTTCTGTGATTTCCCCCCCCCCCCTTTTTTTTAATTTGTCCTACCAGCTGAGGATAAGTCTTTGTATATGTCCTTTAGCAATAGGAAGTATATTAATATAGGTTAAAATGCATTCAGTTTGAAACTGGATTTCTTTAATACAGGTGCTGGAATACTTACTGTGGGCCAGTATATGTATGGAATCATCCATTCCACTCTTATCTGTACATTACTTGACGTGGAGAGCCACCCTGTATACTGCAGTTTCTCAGTGTTATTTTGATTGTCAAGCCAGCATTCATGGAGAGGTATCCTGATTTATCGTATGTAGTATTTCAGATGCAGTCAAATGAGAAATAAATATTTATTTAAACATTCCTGCTTATTATCAGATCATATGTGTTTAGAGTTCTGCCCATATTCCAAAATTTAACTGCAAAGTGAAGGTGTGTTTCAACATGTAAATGAGTAATCAATTCAAAGTTAAATACAATAGTACTTTTAATATAATCATAGTCATAGACTTCTAGCATTAAGTAGTGGCTAGCCCCCATGCATATATACAAAAAGTATTTTGCTAAGGTTTTCTTTTCCTTTTCAGTTGTTGTTCGTGACCTGGCTTTCATTGCAGCTCTTTGCAGTTGTCTGAATTTAAGAATGATGTGATTCTAAAATTAAATACCAACATAGAGAATATGAAATGAGTATAATGGTTTTTTTCAATACTTTGGACAGATATTTGCTCGCCGTGGTCTGATTAAAATTGATGAACTGAAGCAATTAGAAAATACCAGTTCTTCGCTGGAAAATTCAGAGACAAAAAGGGTTTTTAGAGAGGCAACTCTAAAGGTATCGTTCTGTAATTCATTATAAATGGCTAGAGTAGTTACAATCTCTATGAAAAGAACACAACACAGTTATTTACTTTCTTTTTTCTTTGTGTCAGATGTCAGTAATGATTTTCAAGAGAGCAGTATATGAATCCAGAAGAAAACCAAAAAGCTTCTTTCGACCTAAGTTAAGAGTTAGCCTGAAAGAAGCACAAAATGTAAGTCTAACATTTTGTGTAGTCCTTCTCTTTGTTTATGATTTGCATGTGATGAATATGTGATATAATTCTGCGTAATACACATGGTGCTATTCACAAGAAGAAAGTTTTGCTTTTTCAGTTTCATAGGTAACATAACTTATTATTAAAACTCAGGACAAACTTGAAAGGAGAGAAGGTGTTGTAATTATTACTTTAAAAAATACTGATTTTGCTAGTGGTTTTTTTTCCTTTAGCTATAAAAAAAAGAGAAGTCTTGTTCAAATTCATACTAAGTGTATCAGAGTCCTGAGTTTGCCCTGCTGTGTTAAGTTACTGTGAAGATAAAGGTGTACTTTGGAAAAAAGTTACTGTGTTTTTAAATGTTTTTGTACTTGCATTGGAGAACTCTCTTAGGTCTTAAGAGACTGTTTTTGAAGGCCACTTACTTTTTCTGCAAGGTACTGTGAATTAGAGAAAGGCATCCAGGATACATAGTAGACTTTTAAGGAAGTAATGAATTTCCTCAAATTTCTCTGTTTCCTTGTGTTCTTTACAGCTGGTATCCAAAAGGAGTGATCCATTTTATTATAATCAAAGAAAACGCTTCTTTGGTGTGAGTGCATTGTCCCTTTTTTGGTCAGCATGGAGACTTTAATATTTCAAACTTCAGTAGTTAAGTTTATCTTTATGCCATTATGCTACTCTGTGGGTTTGTAACAGTTATGCATCTTACTTAGATTGTATCATCCATTTTTGGTCATAGGTCAGTAGGTCTTTTGAATTCAAGACCTTTCCTAGATGCAGGACTGCACTCTGCCAGTGCTTGGTCACCCTCCCAGTGAAAAAGTGTTTCCTGATATTTAGAGGGAACCTCAAATGTTTCAGTTTGTGCCCCTTGCCTCTGGTCCTGTCACTGGGCACCACTGAAAAGAGCCTGCATCCGTCCTCTGTGTACCCTCCTTTCGGGTATTTACGTACATTGGTGGATCCCCCTGAGCCTTCTCTTCTCCAGGCTGAACAGTCCCATCTCAGCCTCTCCTCATAGGAGGGATGCTCCAGTTCCTTAAACATCTTGGAGGCCCTTTGTTGGACTCTCTCCAGTATAACTGTGTCTCTCACTGGGGAGCCTAGAACTGGACCCAGTATGCCAGGTGTGGCCTCACCAGTAGAGGGGAAGTATCCCCTCCCTTGACCTGCTGGCTGTACTTTGTCTAATGCAGCCCAGGGTACTGTGAGCCTTTTTTGCTGCAAGGACACACTGCTGGCTCATGTTCAACTTGGTGTCCACCAGGACCCCCGAGTCCTTTTCTGCCAAGCTCCTTTCCAGCTGGGTGGCCCCCAGCACATGCTGGTGTATGGGTTTGTTTCTTCCCAAGTGCAGGTCTTTGCACTTCTCCTTGTTGAATGTCATGAGGTTCCTATCAACCTGTTGAGGTCCCTCTGGATGGCAGCATGACCCTCTGGTGTATCAGCTGTTCCTCCCAGTTTTGTGTCATCTGCAAACTTGCTGGGGGCTATGGGAGGCAGTGCCAAAGGCCTTACTGAAGTATAGGTAGACAACATCCACTGTTCTCCCCTAATCGACCACGCAAGTGATTTTGATGTAGAAGCATATGAAGTTGGTGAAGCATGATTTCCCCTTTGTGAATCCATGCTGACTACTTCTGATGGTTTTGTTGTCCTTCGTGTGCCTCAAAATGGTTTCCAGGATTAGCTGCTCCGTCAGGATCCAAAATTAAATATATTTTGTGTTTACTTTTACTATAGTCCCAGCAGAAACAGTTCCTCTTTCTTTGGAAAAGACAGATAGCTATAGTATTGATGAGGCTCACTCATTATGTAAGTTTTTTGAAAACAAAAATAAACCCTTTAGCTTTATTACTCTAAATGCTGTCAGATATTGTACAGATCAGTCTTTTTTTTCATCAGGTACATATCTGAGCTTGTCTAAGTATTACTTTGGAAGCTAAAATAAAGGATGAGGATCCAGCAAAGCAAGAAGGAAATTCTCAAATTTGTGCCTAGTTAAATGTGCCTAGAAACCTGTCTAAAGGGGTTTTATTTGGGAAAGTGCTGAATAAATAGAACTGAAATGTTGATGGATTATGAGCAACATTTTAAAGTACTGTATCTCTGATTTACTTTATGTCTGGTAGTGGTTTGGTAACCACGTAAACAGAACATTGAAATAAAATTTTTAAATATTTTCTTATATAGATTTCTGATTTCTTAGCTGTCAATAGTGCAAATATATTTTTGTGTGTTCTGTCTTGTACTTTTATGTTATGCTGTTTGAAATGTGCAAGTGGGGGAATATAACTGTTCTACTTTCACTGTAGTGCTGAGCATCCTGATCTTTTTCTGATTTTCTGCAAAGTGTGTAGAACTTGGCTCCTTATGGTCAAGTCTGTATCATTATAAGGAGAAATCTGGGTGGCTTTAAACTAAACGGCTTAGTACTCTCAGTCATAATTTCTATTGTATTGTTTTCTAAGTAAAATACCATGCAGCAGTGCATCTGGTTGCTATGAAATTATGGCACTTCTTAAGTACTGTACTCACTTAGCATGAGGCTTTGCTATGTCTTTGAAGCATGAAATTCATAACAACAATATATTTTACAGTATATTATTTTCTGTTTTAAATGTGTACTTACTTTCTGATGGACAACCATTTTGAAAGACATCTTGCTTTACTTTAACTCGGTTTAGATATTACAAGGCTTACATTACCTTTTCTTACTCAGTTGCCATGGCCTCGCACTACTACTGAACGGCTGCTGACAGAAATGTTTGATGGTGTTGCAGCTCAGTTTCTTGCCATCTTGGAAGCTTTGTCTGACAGTAGCAGGCGTGTGTTGCACCCTGCTCCACCTGTTCCTGATGAAACTGAAATTCGTGACGTCATTTCGGAGCTTTTTTTTGCAGGCCTGGAAATCCTCTCAGGTAACAGCATAAAGAAGCAAAAAGAGTGTTGGTGAGGAGCCCAGACCTCCATTTTATTATTTTTTTTCTTTGCTATAGAAGAGAGAACTTGCCTGAAGGCATATGTTTCATTTCTAACAATAGCACCTGTAAAAGCAGGCAATCTTTCTTATCTTCATAAAATTTAAGATAAAAATCTGGGTTGATCTCTGTGGTCTATTATATCAGTAAAAATCTACAGTAACTTACGCATGTCTCTTCTGAATACAGTGGAGTTCACTTCCTTCATAGCAGCCCATAGGGTGCTGTGCCTTGGATTTGTGGCTAAAACAGTGTTGCTAACATACCAGTGTTCTGGCTATTGCTGAGCAGTGCTTGCAGAGCATCAAGGCTGTCTCTCCAACCCTCCTCCCCGCCAAGGCCAGTAGGAGGTTGGGAGAGGACATAGCTGGGACAGCTGAGCCGAACTCATCAAACAGCTCTTCCGTGCCATACGATGTCACGCTCAGCAGTAAAACCTGGGGCTAAGGGAGGGGATGGGGGGACTTTAGTGGTTATGGCGTTTGTCTTCCCAAGCAACTGCTGCATGTTCCAAGGCCCTGCTTTTCAGGAAATGGCTGGATATCTGCCTGCCTATGGGAAACAGTGAATGAATTTCTTTTTTGCTTTGCTTGCACACACAGCTTTTGCTTTTTTTGTTAAACTGCCTTTATTGCAACCTGAGAGCTTTTCTACCTTATTTTCTCCCTCTGCCCTGTTGAGGAGGGCGAGTGAGAGAGTAGCTGGGTGGGGGTCTGGAAGCCAACCAAGGTCAACATACCATGGTGTTACATGTATTTTTTCAAAAAAATCACTCAAAGTTAGATTTAAAAACTTGAGAAAAACATTGGACTTGATGATTCCTTCCAAACCTTTTTTGCTGGGCTCTGGACTGAATATAGCTATAGGTATAGAGATATTTTGTTAATAAAAGAATACATAGAGACTAAATACACTTCAGAATCATATTTCCTTGCTATGATTACTGGCTAATTGGAATATGACAAGTCAAATACAATATAAACTGATTTAACGAATTGTCTTTATTAAAGGTGGAGTAAGCAGTACTGGTATTCAAGGAAGTGATTGCACTGATAATTTTGGTATAATTAATGCATCATCAACCCTTCTGCAGTTGATACTAACAGGTAAACTAGCTTTGAATTTTCAAAGGATTCTGTGCCCGGTGATGCAAATGCTTGGTGAGGAGAATTCGTTTTCACGTTAGTAGCAGTTCTGTGCATAAAGGGACTATAAAATGCTGTCCTGTTTGCGTGAGAAATGCTTGTTTATACATATAATGTTAAGGCATTCAAAAGGGGTTATGTACGGATATCATTACGATTTTCTTAACACAAGTATTATTTAAATAGCATATAGTAATATATGGATATTGTAATCGCATAATGTTCAGCATAGCAGTTCATCTAGATGTGTTAATGCCCCTAAACGATCATTCAAAGGCCAAATTCTGCAATAATGTCCTGGTACGTTCTTATGGAAGAGAAGTGGGATGCAGTAACATAAGGACTATCATAAGCTTGTTGAGATCCTTGGACCAATCATTGTGCTGCTTTGGAAAATAACAGCTGTCTGTTACTAAGTTAACATTGCTAACTGAGTGACCATGTGGCCAAGTGATATGACAATGATTGTGGCATATTCTTAGGACTGCAGAACACTGCTGACTATATTGGTGAAGTCACTTGCTTAGAGTTCCAAGGACCAGGAAATCCCTTTTCTGCCTTACTGTGGTTTGGATAAACTTGAAGAGTGAGAAAATAGACTCCCTATATGTACATGCACATTTTCTGATACAGTAATGAGAAACGGTCATGTAACTTGCAAAAAAATGTTCATGTTTCTATGCTTTTTTAAAATCTAAATTTCTGGTAAGAAGGGTCATTATGGGGTGATACCTAGATTTAAGATCTTTCTGCAACAGGAAGGACTAGATCCTTGATATTCTCTACACAGCTACATAAATATCAATAACAGTACAGCATCTTTGGAATGTAACAGGACATTACTGATGCATCATTAAAGTAGTATGTAAGCATAGACATTACAGCAAAATAATAAAGCTATTGTATCATGTAGAGCTATCAAAACATCCTTCAAGATTATGCTTACTGTTCAGAAACATATGTGGAATTTTATCTTTGTATTTATCAGTACCCAAATTATTAAATTAAATTAAAATTCTGAATATACATATATATATAAAAAACAGATAAAATATTTTTGTCATCACTGCAGGAGAAAAGAGGGTGTCTGGAGATGCTGCTGTGAAATTCATAAAATTAGCTTTCAGCTATGAAGAGTGGGATGTGTTTGATTCTGCTATTGAATTTGTTGTTAATTTTCTTCAGGTAATCTGGATGCTATTTAGACATTCTTTATGTAGTCTTTTCCTATGAGCGTAAGGAAGAGTCAAAGTACATATTTTTAAGACAAATTTCTGTTGTTTTTTTCTCTCAATTAGGCTCAAGATGACCCAACATGGAAGAAAGCTGAAATGGAACTCAAACTTCTTACACTGATGCAACCTTTACTATTTCAAAGGAAATTTAAACGTGGTTTTTCTGCTAGTGAAAATAATACCAAAGAAGCTAGGATGCCTCATGGTTCTGAAAAGAAGCAAACATTTAGAAGTAGGTGTTGTTCAGTTATAGCTGTGTTTGCATTTCAAATTTTTTTTTTCAGCAAGAAATTTTGTTTATTATTTAAAAACTATGTAATATGGTGCATGCAGTATTCTATGACAAAAACTAGCAACTGAGAAACTGACACCTATTGAATTTTGTCCAGTTTTCATTTGCTAAAATATAACTTCCTACCATTTCCCTCAAGTATGAAAATGCCTGATATATGTTAAACATACATCAAGTTATATGCACAGAAGTAAAATGAATGGATGTTTTCAGACAGGTTTTCAGGAAACAAGTGAAACAGACATGTTTGACTTATGTAAAATTTCTTGACATTGAAGCAAGAAAAACTTGTTAAAGCAACTGTAATTAAATTCTATGACATTCCAAAAAACTGCAAATATCTTGAAAACTTTCTGTTTCCAAAAATAGAAATGCTCACTTTTCACAGAAGTGAATAAATTTGGGAATATCTGTCCCCTTTGTATTTACTGTTTATTAGACTATATTATCTGTTGGCATAAATTGGTAAGTCAATTCACTCAGATGTTATCAAACATAGGTTTGTAACTAGAAATAACGTCTTGCCTTGCCTTTTCTTTCTTTTCTATAAACAATGAATGCAGACAATTCCCTAAAGCATGGAGAGCCTTCTCATGATCTTATTATTTTGGCAACAACAGTGTTTTCCTATGTCTCCACATCTAAGCAGGTAATACCAGAATTAGAGACATTTCTTCTCAATGACTCGCTTAATCTGTAATGAATGCATATAATTGAAGACCAAAGGAATCAGTTGCATGATTAACAAACTTCAAGAATATAAAAAATGTACTTATGAAATGTGATCAACTTCTGGTTTGTTTTTTTTTTTAATATTTGTTTCTTTTTTTTGTTGGTGCTATGTAATCAGGCTACTTTAAAAATGTTTAATAGATACTAAATCTATTTGGAAGACCATTGGGCTAATTGCACATTTCAGTTAATCAAGCAGAGATTGAATTTCTTTAAGTATATTACTTTTAGGTGGGCAAATACACTCGGCTGTGGAAAACACTTTTGCAATATTTGTAGAAATGGGAGCAGTTACCCTAAGGAATGATAATAGCAGTGGTATGCCTGCAATTTAAGGTAAATTCTCACTGCAAACAAGCAGCAGCAACAACAAAACCATAGAGAGTGGGACTTTTTGTGCTGAAGTCTCTAATACAGAATAATCCCATTATATATCTGATGGCTTATTCCCAGAGTAACCACTTTTAGCTTACTTGCTCAAACTGAGATTTCTCTTAATGTGCTACTGTGAGGGGAAAAAAAATTACAGTGCAATGTCTCCACTAGCATTTACATTAAAACAGTTTGTGATCCAAAAGGCTAATGAAAATTTTTCCTTAGTAAAAAAACCCATTCTCCTAACATGGCATACATTTTAACTGCAAAATTTATTTTAGATATAACTTGAATATTGCCCCAGTTTGAGTGTAGCTGGGGCACAACATTTTTAGCTTTAGTGTAATATTTTCAGTCGAAATATCTTGCCTGTGAGGAGTTATACCTTTAGATAGCATGATTTGTCAGCTTTTTGACGTGACCGCTGTATCATGGAGACAGGTTACCTGGGTTTAAACTCTTCTGGTTCTTCTACACTTTCCCACAAATCTCCTCGGTACCTAATCTGTCCTGGGAAGAAGGATGACTTCTCCCCTGATTAACAGAGAATTCACTGATGGTGAAGTTACATGATATAGCTGATCCAATCTAACAGCTTGCTGCCACAAAAAAAGTGGCAGAAATCATCTTGATTTACTTCTTTTTTCAGTCTTTTTCTCCCCCCACTTCTCAATATCTCTGAAATCTTACGCTCATATGCATACGAGTATACAGATAGTGTGGATATAGCAGGCTTGAGTTTCATTGCACCTGAGATACTAGTCCAACTCTGGTATAAATGGGGATAAAGATGTGTACTGATCCTTAATCACTCTTCAGAATGTGTTTAACACAGTGTAGACAGACTCTATTGCCTTTTAAAATGTATTAATTAGGAGGTTAACTGAACAGAGTTTTGAATTTGATAATTATTCTTTTCACAAGATGCAGATATGTTTTAACGTTTCTTTCAGTTGTTAGATACTCCACTCCAACCTTTCTTCCAGTTGTTAAAGTTGTTCACTGCTCCCTCACCTGAGATGCACCAACAATCCATGGAAGTGCTCTGTCAATGCAAAATGAAACCTAGTAATTTAGATCATCTTCTGCAAATATTTAAATACTGCAATAAAAAAAAAATAATAAAAAAACCCCAATCTGTTAAATTACATTACTTAGTCTCCCCAGGATGCATTGATTATTCTAGCATTTCAAAGATAGTTAATTTGCTTGTCTCTCCCATGTAATTTTCATCTCACTGCTCTCCTTGTATGTGTTACTTTAAAGAGCTTGACAATAAAAAAAAGAAAAAAACCAACCCACCACTAAATCCACTTGTATTGTTGGGAGAAGAAAAGCTTAGGTGATCTACTTGAAATTACTTAAAAAAAAAAAAAAAAAATTTCTTAAGCTTTCAAAATGTTGTCATCCCTCATAAGGAAGTTAAATATGAAAAGCGTTTATTTACTTTGGAAAATTTTGAGACTGTTTATGTATGGAGTGTTTATATACATACCTGTTTCTACAAATGCATTGGTTTTTCTTTCCAGAATATCCAACCTGACAAAGAAATACTTGTTGATGTACTAATGTTTTTGTGGCAGAGGTGTAAAACAGGACTTCAGCGAATCCAAATGAGTGGAAGTGACTACTTAAAATACATCCACAAATACAAAGCTTACCAAGTACTCCTTTATTTTAATGTATCTCTCAATATGAATGTAGTCTGTTATAGTAAAGCCAAGATAAACTATTGGTATCCAGTCTAAGTATATTTTCTTATGGTAAAATGCAGATAAATCTTCTTCACTGAAAATGAGAATTGTATATACATTTTGAACACACTGTGCTCCCATATGCCAGTACCAAAATATCTCTTAGCCTTTTCCCAGTAAAGTAACCCATTCTCTGCCAGTGGGCCATGGTGGAAAGAAGCTAAAACAGTGAAAGCATTCGGGCATGAAGTAAGAAGAAGCATTTGGTGTGTGTGGTGGAAAATATCAATGTATTTCAAGAAAGTTTCCTAGGTCAGTTGAAGAAAGTGGCAAAAATCTCACAGCTTAAGAGAAGGGGGTTGGGGGTCAATAGTATTTGGCCCACTGGATAGAGCCCCAGCCTTACCTTGAGCTGTTTCTGAAACTGAGAGGCTCTTGATGCAATACAGTCTTCTGAAGGATAATTTACACTAGTTTCTCTGGGCTGCTATTTGATGCTAACCAAACAGTTTCTGGAGGAGTTACTTTTGTGGCCCTGATCCCAATAGTAAAATTGTTCAGAGATTCCCCAGAACGTAGTGTATGTTACTTTCCTCTGTGTGTGGCACAGGAGCATCGTCTTTTATAGTGTTTAAGTGGGAAGATATGGGAATAAATGAGAGGCAAATGATCAAATCTGCTGGAAGGCTTACCACACTATGACAAGTGTCACTCTGCATCTTAGTCTGGTGGCACTCAGAAAAAGAAGGCAAATCCAAGAAAGGTTTTGTGTCCATGTTTATCAATCTTTTTAAACAATTTTGAGTGCAAAACCCTATCTACCTCTGTAATACATAAATATCTTCCAAAAATTTGTCTTGATTCTGTCTTGATTCTTTTTCTTTCCCCTTCCCCCATTTTTAGTGGATTCATGTACTCTGGATAATAAATGAAGTAATTCAGAAGAGCAGTATAGCAGACACTAATGTTGTAATGCTGGCAGAGATAACCTTACATCTAGCTGCAATATTGGAAAACGTAGCTGATTCTACAAGTAAATCTCAGAAAAAAGCAGGTAAACCTTTCCACAAAATTTAGTTTTCTTTCAAGAATGACTTTCAAGATTAGAACTTTTCTGAGTTGAAAACTTTGACCGATAAACATATTCAAAAATTATTGTAAAGAGATTGTTGAGAGTAGAATGAATTTTTTTTGTACACACAATTTCATCCATGATCAGAGCTAATGAAACCTGGTTTTCAAAGGATTTATGCCTTATTTCCTTACATTTCCGGTTCTACCGAAGTAACCCTATTTTGAATCACATCTTTTATGAATCACCCTCCTCAGAGGTCTTCTACATGTCTTTTAGCCCCTTCAGACTAGCTTCAGATCACTCCTATATTCTCTGAATAGTGGCTAGGCAGATGGCAGTATGCGCTGCAGCTCATTTAGAGCATTCAAGTGGTGGTTGACTAGTGGCAGGCCAAACAGAAGAGGGAAATATTGAGGTCATACCGAAGCTTTTGCTTTTATCGGGTTATTACTTTGCATGTCTTGTCTACACAAGTCTTGATTTTTGTATAAGAATTCAATTGTCTTTGAATTTGAACTTAAGTTGGCTGACATTCTTGAGATATAACGCAATTACAATCACATTAAACAAATTTCCTCCCAAAACCTGTCTAATGCTGTAAAATATTAATATTTAGACATACTTTTAAAAGTTCTCTGTTGTTGTGGATGTAGCATCTTGAAATATGAATCATAGTTCTCATAAATGTTTTACAGTAACTAGAGAGTAGATTTTAAGGACCCTTTTAGAGCATATCTAGGAACAGAAGAAAATGACAATATCTTTTGCTCTTTTGAAAGTAAGAAAATCTTGGAATGCTGCTATTCATTATAAAGGTAGAGTAGGTATTGTTTTCTGTGATGTTATGAAAATCATATTGTTCTGACGGAGATTGGATGAAACCTCGTAGCATCACTGCTATTCTTTTTCATTCATTTTAAATATGTCTTCTTGGAGGAAAAAAAGCTGAATAGGTAGGAGCCATTGGTCAAAACAGGCTGATAAAGAGCCAGTCAAGCACATGTTTATGCTGAGAAGAGTCTGTTTACTGAATGAATACTGAGTGAATATACATTTTCTTATTTATGAGAAAGAGACAGTGAACAAGCAGAAATAAACAGGCAAAAGTGGCACAAGGAGTACAGGAGTGACTAGAAGGATGTCCCTCTCAAAGGGCAAAAAATGAATTTATTCTGGTGAAAAAATAAAATGTTGATGGGCTGGAGTGCTGTAACAAAGAACAAAGAAACTGCTTCCTCTTGTTTTGGAAAGGAAAGACGGTTCTGGATGCATTCCTTGTAAATGAAAATAATTTAAACAATCCAAATGAATGTTAAAAGGGTGATAATACCCCTTCAAGGAATATTAAATTTAGATAGTATATATCATAAAAATATAACCTTACGTATTTAAAAATTCTTCTGTAAGTTAAATTAGCATTAAACCCTCTGTGAATTAGACAACAATAGATTTGAATTGATTTAAAAATGGAACATTGATATGAATGCTACAACAATGTGAGGAACTACAAAATGAGACCAAGTTTCATTGGCTTGGATATAATGTTGCTGTGAAATATAGGGTACGTTTAAAAATACTATGTTATTGGATAACCATATACTGAATTAGTATAATTGTATATATGTAGCTATTGTGTTTAAACCCTGAAAAGCTTTGCAAGAAACAATATCATTACTTTTCATAGTCAAGTACTGCAGAACTGAATTATTGCCAGACTCTTAAGTTAGTAGTAGAGCTAATCAAACGGTACAAAATTTTCTGAGTAAATTTCATTTTCACTTTCTGATTTTCTTCCTATAAAAAAGGAAAAAGAAGTGCCTTAGTCTCGCAAGATGAAACCTGTGATGTGCCTGAAATACTGATGGTAATGTCTAATTTGTTTTCATTAATACAGTGGTTTTTGAATAGCATAAGAACACTTATTTCTGCTTGAAGCTTTTCATACAATTTTGTATTTAGCTTTATAAAGCTGAAATGTTTCACACAATCATGCTAGTGCAGAAGAAAAAAGCAAAGATATTTTTTCAAATGAAACAAAGTCTGAGAATTTTCCTGTAGTCTTCCATATCACAGATTACTAAAAAAGAAGTTTTATTTGAAACTTTTTTTACGGTGCAGTCATACTGATTTCCATTGTACACTCGTTTTTATGCCAATGTGTAGTACCAGCTTTACATGGTTTAATAGCACATTTTTTAAAGATTGTACAAACTTCAGTCCCTGTTTCATTTAGGAAAATATTTTGGGTTGTGCTTTTGCTTTTTTGTTTTTGCAAGGGTGATGTGGAATAGATGGAACATCCTGAGTGTCCTTGCTTTGTTCAGTGTGTTCAGTGCTCAGCACTTTGCAGAAATGTCCAATCAAATAGTTCAAAATTAACTTACTAAAACACATTAAGAAGAAAAGACATACATCAGTCTGAGGATTCAGGAATTTCGTCAATGATATGTCTTAATGCTTGCACACATGGAGGAGCTTTAATTCAGTGACAGTCTACTTAAAGGTGGTGTTTTCTGAAAAATCAATGTTTTCTTAACAGCATCTAATGGAAACTGAAAAACTGCTTGTGAAAAATACTGTGTTTGTCAACTTAATTCTCTAAGTTCAGTTTCATTCTGCTGTAAGCTAACTCTTTGAGTTAGTAAATTGTTTTTTGAGAGCTGAAGGAAAATCAGTCCTAAATTAATAAAAAACAACTTGAAATTTAAAACAGTGATATTAGTACATGAAAGCATGGGGAACAGTGCCTGTGTAAAGATTATTTGACAGTGTTTAAACTGCAACAGTTAAAAATAATAGCACTTTATTTTTGTTAGTCCATATTATAGCTTTTAATGCTGTTATCTAATAAAACATGTTTCTGTGTATTTTCATGTCAGAAAAGTCCTACGGAACAATTACAAGTTGCTTATGAAAGTCTTGAAAATGCAATTAATGGAATGAATACATCTCGCTCAATGACCCTTCTACCAGATGGAAAGTCAGTATTTGACAACTGCTGTACAAAGGTAAGGTCTACAAAAGGCTAGGCTGCAACAAAATCGATAAATAATATATTGGATTTTGATGACACGACTCATATTTTCTTCATACTTAGAAATCTTAGCATTATCAAACGTACCTCATCTTCCTGCCCCATGAAAGAAGAGAATAGAAAAAATAAATCTCTGTGTAGCAGAAATAGCATTTTTCTCTTTCAGTATTAAACTATGAACTCCTTTAGGTTTTCTTTGCCATTTCCTTTTGGAAAGAATTATAATTTGTATCTTTCTCCTATAAAATAAAAGCAGAAGTCCTTTTCATATTTGTTGCTTGCAACTGTTTATTATTAAAATTAATCTTTGTTGTTGAGGGGAGTTCAGAATTTCTAAATATTATCATTCTACACCAATATGATCTTTGTTTTGTGGACTGATAACATAATAAAACACTTTTCTGCAGTTTCATATTTATTATTAATCCATTTTCCTATTGATTCTCAGGTTTTGTCTAGTTTTCTTTGTCCATTATCCATGCTTTCTCTGTCTAGTCATTCTCTTTCCTTCCATGCTTTTTTGAATGACTGCATATTACAGATATGACAAATCTCAGTGTTTGTTAATTTACTGAAATAATATCAGTGTCCAGACAAATGCAGTAAGCTAAGTAATAAACATTCGTGTTTGCTTAATTGCTACTTCCTATTTATTAGGTGGACTCAAATGATCAGAATTTGAAATCTGTTTTGGGATGTGCTAATGATAAGACAGGAACAGGTAATGGGTTTTTAATGGATTTACACTTGGAGCTCATTCAGGCCCAACATCGAGTAGCTGTGAAACTTCTTAAAATGACGCAAGGTAGGTTTCAGTAAAGCTAAGTGGTCTTCATAGCCTGGTTGGAGTCTTCTGTTAATATATTTTGTAATGCTAAGAAAAAAAAAGAATATCTACTTTCTGAAGAGGAGCTGATGTTTGGCAGTTTGTATGTCACGTACAGACAAAAATAATGTACTGAATTTGCAGAATTTAGATTTACCACATGATACTAGTCTCTAACCTCTACTCAACTAATGAGAGTTAAGCTTTGCTAATAACTATTGGATTTGATTCCTAGACAGTTTGTTGTGGTATTTCAGTTATAATATTAACTGTTACAGTGCCAGTAAGGGAGAATTGGGGGATGCTCTGCAAATTTTTTTTTTCTGTAATGCTGGTTTTCTCTCTGGAGAATGACTTGAATAATTTATTCAATGCTCTTCGTAATCTGAATTTCTACTCCTGTGAAGTTGTCCTTAGCTCTTCCCAGTCAGCAGATATCCCACTCTTGCCAAATGCCTTCTGAAGAAACTCTAGTTGGTCTCCCATTCCTAGTGTTTAGGTTTTTTTAAATTAAAAGCTAGTATTAGTTTGACACTGTGGAGCTCCCCTGTGCGCTGCTCCCTATGAGCAAACAAGATCCCTCTTTTCCTGTGATGTTAGTGTAACTGCTAAAGATGTTAGAGCATGAAGGTGGAATATTTTTAGTGGCATGATCAGTCCAAGAGTTTCTCCTTAAACCAAAGCAAAGAACATGGGATGGAGCAGAGCTTTACTACAAAACTACATGTTAACTCCTCTCACTGAAATTTTCTCAATAGCACTATCAGAATGAATAACTCAGGATTTCCTTCCCACATAGGTGCTCAAAAGGATGACGGAAGTCTTAAGTCTGGCAAGTCTCATGTGAAGAATAATAAAAATTTCCATTATTTAACAGGTAAGGCTTATTAATTAAGATTTTAGAAGTATAATAAATTATTGCTGCTGTTATTTATAAATGTCTTAAAATATGTATTTTACAGAGGCACTTATAATGAGAAAAATAAAAAAGAATAAGCTATCCAGAGCAATCTTTTTGATGCAAAAGGCTGCACAGAAGTTCCCTGAAGAGTTAACCACTTCTTCCCAAAGGCAGCTACTGGAGGTAATAAAAAAAATCTTATGGTAGAAATTCTTTCTTATTGTCATAGTTTTACATGTTCTGTAGAATTAAAACTTGGATTACTCCTTCTTATAAAAAGAAGTAAAAATGGAAGGAACTTGAGGGACATTGGGTGTTTTTAACTTCTGTTGTCAAATTTTCCCTGAGAATTTTCATTATGAAGAAAGACTGAAGTAACTTAAAACAAGGAAAGAGTACAGCCCCAAATTTTGTGCATACATGCAGATTGTAGGAAACCTGAAAGTAGGTATGATCTTTCTTTTTAATGCTTAATCAGCTAGAATTTGCAGTTATGAACCTATGCCTTGCCAAAATGTAATGCAGATTTCCTTCTCCTCATTTCAACCTTCAACATCCTTCGTTTTCTGAGATCTGTAAGAGTCTTAGATTACTTTGGCTGGTGATGATGACATGGGCTTCATTTTATTCTTACTAGATAAACAGTTTAGAAGTTGGAGATTTTGGAATTTATTGAGGCTAAAAGTAAATTCTTCACGGGCTCATTTCAAAGTCTTTTGAAATCAATAGGAGTCTTTCCATTGAGCTTTGTACCAGCATCTTCCATGCAAATTGCCTTCTTATCAGTGGGGCATAAAATTTCTTTATGGTCTGTACAACAGATAACAGAATCTGCAATTGTCACTATATAATACATGAAAAAGTATTTTAAACAAGAAGTTACTAGAAGTTGTTTTTAAGTGCTACAAATTTGGAAGCATGATAATTAACACATGTATCTTTTATGTCAGAAGGATGCAAAAACTGGGTCAGAAAAGATATACTAAAAATCTCACATATTTGTAAACCACTAAAAATCTCATATATTTGTAAAATATGTGGTATTTATGAATGTAAGATGTAGTGATATGGTATGAAAGTTGGAACTGGAGTGAAGACTTACAAGCAATTCCCAAGAAACGTGTGGTTATCCCAAACAAACATTTGCAAAGGCCTTATACTGACCTTCACTATATTTTAATTCTGTGCACTTTTCACAGAGAAAGATGTAGGTAAAATAATGTAATATACTTGCAGCCAGTTGCCAGAAAATGTCAGAACTAACTTTGCCTGGACAGACTTAGCATGATCTTTGATATTTGTACTATGATGAAATATTTAATTACATGCTCAATTAATTTTCATCCTTGAGGTGGATGGTGCTCACTTCATGAACAGGGAATCCATACCTTTGTTTTCATGCTTCTGTGTAGGGGATTTTGCCTTTTTTATTGTAGAACATCCAAGAGGTCTATGTAGAATTACTCATATCTTCTGGTCTTTTCTACTGTACTCAGCACAATATGATGTAAGTCTGTTCTTATTATGCTGCAAAATAGGAAAGCAGGGGGTTTGGTTTTTTTTTTTTTTAAGAAACATACAAATAACCTTTTCTCATGCAGTAAACCACCAGGCAGGTATGGAAGCTTCTGAGTCATATGTGTATACTCGTTTATATCACACTACTTAACTACTTGAGCTACTGTGTCCCCTTTATTATTATTTTTTTTAATTTCTCTCACAGTTTCATTCTTCCTTCCTGTCTTATATGTCTAGCTGGACATCCAGGTCTTTACAGAATTGGGTACACTGGTAGTTCTTGTTGGCCAGCTGTAAAATGGAATTAATGTGATTAAGCTAATACCACAGGGCAAGTCTGTGGCAGAGGCAGGGATAAAATGTGGGGTTTTTATAGTGACATTTGGCTTCCTCAGCCATAAGATTATTCTTTCTTCTCTTGCAACACTGCCACATATATAATCTCCCAAGTTCTGCAGTTAATGAAGTACAGGTCACGCAGTACCACTCTCAGTCACAACACTACCTTTATCCAAACTGGGTTCCATCCTTGCACTAATAAGAAATATGTCCTCAGAGAAGGAGTCTGTAATTCTTTTAATTAAGAATTGTATCATAGTACAGCTTACCATAAAGAAATACAATTTTTAAGGAAGCAATGAAGTTTCTAATTACGGATTGCAAAAGTTGAATGGTTGTGTGAGGGAAAGAGTCATTCCATATCTCTTTATCTTATATCCTTCCTTAAACATTTCTCACTAGGGTGGATGCAACCCTAATCTAAAGGGGGAGGGAGTGGGGTGAAGTGAGGGGCTGTGCAGATGATTAGCTATGTGATGTGATTAAAGCTCTATTAAATCTCAGCTCCCTGTCTCACTGCAAATCTATGGCTAGTTTTTGGTCATTTTTGAACGTGAGATATAAGGCTTATTCAGTCTGTGATCTGACCCCCAGTATGGTTGTTCTTACAGCCTTATAAATGTATGAGGACAGAAACAAGGAACTCCTAAGGTGCAAGATTATAGGACTGTCACTGAATAACTACTAACTTGGTATTTTCTTTCCAGTTTGTTTCAGACTCAGTTTGGCCTAAATCCTTGGTCCACTGTATGGTACTAAAAGACTTCAGATAAAAACCCTAGTTGTAGGAATATGTCACCTCTCTTCTCCCAAAAGCATGTAATTGTCCAAGGCATCCTTGATCTCTTCATCTCTGGGAGCTGACCTTTTTGGCTTTGATTTGCACTGGACAGCTGGCATAAGTAAAGATACAAAAGTACTAAGTTCTTAATGTTAAATTTCCAGGTTAAGTTTCTCTTACCCTGACAACACAAACAAAGTGAAGAAACCTACCCATTTGCCATTCAATCCAGTAAGAAAAAAATGTACCCTGATCTCCAACCAAATGGCCACATAATCACTATGTGCAGGAGGCCCCCACTTTTTTGGAAGACACTAATAGACAGTCAGTCAGCTCTCAGCTCTCGCCAGCTAACCAAGGGAAGTGGCTTAGCGCTACTTTTTCTGGACCTGCATTCTCCTCCCTTTTCTTTATTTCTGGACTTTATTTCTTTCCTCTGTTTCTGGAGTACAGAAAATTTGTCTAACCACTTCCACAGCTCCTTCAGAAATTCCACAGATTAGGTGTCCGGCTCTCTCCTAAATAAGAGTTTATCATTTTTGTTTCTTGTTGGAGCTAATCACTGGTTGACACTAATTGCTAATCAATGTTATTTGTGATCACTCTCTTTTCCTACAGGTCCTTCCAAAATTGGATACACCTCAGCCCTGCCTCTTTCATATGCAGCTCTGCATTCTCTTTATTGTATATTGTGAAATTAATCTGCGTATGTAAGGCTTACACAAAGTACCATTCATCCTTATTTAGGATGTAAGATGATATGAAAATCTATAAAAACTTTCTACACAGCAGTGAATTTTTGTAAGATCATTTTGAAAACCATTTATAAGTGTTAAATCTGTCCGATTGTTATGTCTTAATAGTTTTTCCCTTTTGTTTTAATTTAATTCATAGGAAGCACTAACTTTAATTAAGCAAGTTGAAGCTGAACAAAGTGCATTGTATCACAGTCTCAAAGAAGCTTTGAGCAGCAAGAAAAAAAGCAGGACTCCTCCTCCTCCTCTATTACTTTCTAGATCACATTGCTCCATGACATTTAAACCAGCCCCATTCTCTTCAGATATTCAGGTAATGTTTTTCATGATGACTGCGTAAGAAATAACTAAACAATACACAAGAAAGCAAAAGTTGTTTCAACAGTGCTTGTACCATCACAGTTTTCTCTGTTGTTCTTGGGAATATTATGTTATTCTGACCTAATTAAGTACGCTTTTTTTTTCCCTCTGTGAGGCAATTGTGACTCGCTGTTTTGATCTTCACATTCACATGAAACTTTCTGCATTTCATGTATCATATTCCTTAGTGCTTCTGTTGTATAACACTTATTCTTCTTGTGAAAAGCTCATTCTCTTGCTTAGGGGCTGACATAGTCCTAGTTACCCCCTGAAAAGATGCAAGGCTGTTGCATCATGTGATGCAAGAAAGTACCACACACAAGTGTCTGTTAATGAAGTGCTGAAGTGCCATAGTTCAGGTGGAAAAATCTACCTTCTATTGAACATGTAGAATTACAGAACTGCTCAGATCATAAGGGATTTTAGGAGAGGTCTCTAGTCCAACCTTCTGTTCAAAGTAGGGTTGGCTGTGAGATTAGACAAGGTTCCTCAGGGCTTTGTCCAGTCAGTTCTGAAAACCTCCAACGATGGAGACTGAACAGCTTCTCTGGGCAACCTGTTCCAACAGGGCAACTTGTTCATGGAAAAAACTTTTTTCCTTATGTACAGTTGGAATCTCTCTTGCTTCAGTTTAGGTCTATTGTTTTTCATCCTCCTACCATGCACTACTGTGAAAAGCCTGGCTACATCTTCTTCATCACTTGCTTGCAAGCACTCAAGGGCTCCTGGTAGGTTCCCTGGAGCTACCTCTTCTCCAGGAAGAATAAGCCCAGCTCTCTCAGCCTCTTCTCGCAGGGCTAGTGCTCCAGCTCCTGACCATCTTGATGGTCCTCTGCTGTAATCACTCTAGTTGTTCAGCATTTCTTGTTAGCATGATGGGGGGCAGGAGGGAAACTGGCTGTGGTATCTAGATGTAGTCTAATGAGTGCTGAGCAGAGGGGGATAATCACATTCCTCAATCTCCTAACTGTACCTCTGTTAATACAGTTCAAGATGCTTTTAGGCTGCTTTGCTGCCATGGCACACTGCTGGCTCATGTTCAGCTTGCTGTCTAACGTGACCCCCAGATCCTTTTAGTGCTGATCTCCGGCCCATCAGTCCCCAGCCTATATCCTTGCAAGGGATTCTTCCTTCCCAGGTGCAAGACTTTGCATTTGTCCTTGTTAAATTTCATGAGGTTCCTGTGGGCCCGTTCCTCTGGGCTCTCTAAGTCCCTCTGAATAGCAATCCTGCCTTCAATGATATCAACTGTTTTCCCTCAATTTGGCATTATCTGCAAACCTGGTGAGTGTGTGCTCACTTTTTTCCTCAGGTCATTGCTAAAGATATTAAACAGGACAGGTCCCAGGATAGTGCCCTGCAGTGCTCCACTTGTTACTACCCTCCAGGTAGAGTACGAACCATTAACAACTACTCTCTGAGTCTGACCTTCCAACCGTTGTTTTTACCCATTTATCTGTTCACACCCCCATACTGTATCATCCTAACTTGCCTATAAGAGTACTGGGAGGCAGTGTTGAAAAAAGTGCCTTGCTAAGGTCAAGGTAAATGGCATCTACTCCTCTCCCCTCTGCAAATCAAGTAATTTTGTCACAGAGGCCAATCATGGTGGTCAGCCCTTGGTAAATCCATGCTGACTGTTACAAATCACCTTATTGTCCTTCATATGTCCAGAAAGGGTTCAAACAAGCTGAAGTATGAAAAATTCACTAGCTGCAGTTTTCTTGAAAGAAATTTTCATAGTGATTTTGCAAGCTTTTTCAAAATAACGATGTGTATAAAACCAGTAGAAACTCAAATCTTATTAATAGTGGTAAGAATATTTCTGTGAACGGTTGTTTTATAACTTGCAGTTTTATTGCGGTTTGATTAGTGAATTTCAAAGTAATTAATTAGGGAAAAGTTCTTCCTTTTTATCCCTAATAAACATAAAATTAAAAAAAAAAAATTAATTCTTTAAAGTCTGATAGTTCATCTGTTTTGGGGTGTGTTAATACTTCATTTTGGTCGATACACGAGAGTGACTATAACATGTTGGGCCACTAGATGGCACAACGTGATTATTAGTCTTACAGTTTGAGCCCAGCTAGTCTAGAAGAATTTTTTCTAAAGGCACACATAGCTGTTGAGCGGACGTGAAAGGTATTATTTTAGAAGAACTTTTTAACTGGAAATGGATACTTAGGATTTAATTAGACATATATAATTCTTGTACTAGAAGTCAAAGTATCTCTAAAATTTCCTGATCTTAAAGTTGCTCATTTGCTGAAAACAATCTCCTCTATTTCAATATCTCCTTCTGAAAAAGTCAGGATTCATTGCAAGATAAATCACATGTATTACAAGAAAAATGAACGTTTTAGCTGTACAGATTTTTTTTTTATGTTGAAAAATGACCTCATCTGCCAAACCTCAGGTCTGTTTAAATGTCTACTGAAGGTAAATAGACTTAATACAGTTTTTTGTAGAAAGTTTAATGCAAGAGAACTTCATCAGATGCATAACTTGCTGAAATCCCTCTGCCCAGTTCTGCAGAGATGAAATCAAAATTAGTTTCCATGTTTGATCTCACTGGACACGACTGAGCAGTGATCCAGGAATGCATGCTCACATTCTTCCTTGGTTAAAGATACTGGAAAGTCTAGATGATATGCCCAATGAGATTATCAGCAGTTTGATGGCATTAAACACCCATTGATTTCAACAGGAACTAAGAACATGGGTTGTTTAGTAAATACTACTGCATTGCTTCGTATCTGCATTTCTGTTGCCTGCTTTTAAGGATCTGTCCTCAAGTAGTTTGCTGAATCACAACCTGATGTCAACTTCAGAAGAATACCATTGCAAGGCTCAAATAATGGATCTAGATGACTTTAAATCTACAGGATGACATACAGAAGAGTTTATGCTTTGGGATAGGTTTGAGGTATAGGGTAGCTCAAGGTAGGAGATAGGATCATGGAGAGTCATCTGCTTTTATTGCCACTGCAGTATACCAAGGTCTCCAGCTAAATCAATTAATGTTTCTAGTGCAGGTAGACTATACGTTTTTATAACTAAGGTTTTTTTTTTTCAGAGACTGTTTTCACAAAATTAGTACATTCTACGTTAGGCAAAACTTGGAAATGCTATTATTATCAATTAATTTTGTTCTTGTTTTCTTCAAAGGTTTCGTGGTACAGTATTTTGGGCTCTGTAGCAGGAGGAAGTAATATGAAAGTAAGGTTAAATAACAATAAACTTCCAAATGCAGGAGAAGAGGTAAGACAGAAGTAGAACTCCTTTAGGTCATTCTCTCTTCCTTCAAAAAAACCCAACTTTCTAAATGTATACATCGGATGTCTTTTTTTGATCAGGTAACTGGCCAAGCCTTTGACAACCCTTTTGATCTTTATTTTAAGCAATTGAAATTTTGCTAGGCTGAAGGCATACCAAAACCCAAAAAACGTTCTAGGAACCTTTTTTGAATAATGAATTAAATGATTCAAAAGCTTCATGTTAGACCAATTTCTGTCCCTTCTTTTATAACTCTGTTTTTTGAGCGACATCTAAGAAATACAAAAGGAAAAGAAAGTATATGATGTATTTATAGTATGCCCCAGTTACTACTCCTTCCAGGGATTCAAAAAAAGAGAAATTCTATAAGGATATAAAATTTAATATTTTTCTTAATTGTGTAACTTCTATCAGCTATTTCTTCTTAACAAGACCTTACCTTACTTAATTCTGGCAACATGATAATATAACTCCTTCAGTAACCTTCATGTTCAGACACAACTGACTTCTAGGTTCACACTCGTTCCCTTTCATGCTGTGAACATGTGGCATGACAAATCATCCCACACATCTTTGATTACTTATGACTGATCATGTGACTGTGTTGGTACTCTTTTATATTAGTTCTTCATTACAATTTGACGTTTTATTTTCTGAATTTGTTTGGTTTTTTTGGTTTTGTGTTAGTGTAGTTTTTTTCCCTTTGGATCACACTCTGATGGTCCTGCACAGACTGAGTTCTATTTTTCCACTCACTTATGCATGCTATTGCATTGTCCATCTGAAGGATGACTGTGATCCATCGAAATACTCTGCATTTTGGGGTTTTAAGAAAGGGGCAAAAAAGCTTCAGCACATCGTCTTCAGCAAATGTTACTGTAGTCTCAGATCCTAAAACTTCCCTTTGTGTAAGTTGTCCTGGTTATGGAGGGGAAGGTGGAAAAGCCTGTTAGGAGTGAGCTGTGACATTAAAGTGCAGGTGGGCAATTACTTGAAGTAAAAGCAAAGAGAAGATCTTGAAAATCTTGTTTGTTTCACAAACTCCAAAGTCCTGTTAATGGTGCTGAGAGGACCTGAGACATCCTCTGCCCATATCCATGGAGAAGGGCCATATGCTCTTTCTCTGGAAGCACAGCTCAGGGCCAGAATGTTTCCAGCTCAATGACTGCAAGCATGCCCACTCACGATGTGAATGTGCAAATGGACAAAAACGTCTTAAAGAAACTCCAGGTCCTGGTACTTGGCTGTTCTCTTCGGTTGTGTGCTCTGTATACTCGACTGCATTTCAGAGAAAATTGACACTTTTTTCCCCCGTCATTTCATTGTTTTCTCATTGTCTCCAAGAACCTAATATTACTGGAAACGTGACATGTCTGTTAATCTAGGTTGTACTTTGATTGTATCCAAGACCATTAAATAATTTATTTACCAATAAAGTTTTAGAATTTGAGATTTGCTTTTGGTATGTACAGTGGGTGTAACTAGTAAGTATTTTTATTGATAGATACCAGCTGATGGGAAAAGCCTCTTGGAAATACAAGGCTTAGATCCCAATGAGAAATACATATTTGCAGTCGCAGCATATTCATCTGATGGAAAACTTATTGGTGATGGCATTGGGGAAACGACTAAGCCAATCCTTGCTTATCTACCTCTTTCTGCTACTACTGTTCGAGCCTATCTAACTCAGGTAGGGTTTGATAATAAACACATACATACTTTAGTTTGGTTGTAATTACTTGTTTTCACTGGTAGCTCTAAAGCATCTGGTAAAAACTCAAGACTTTCTTGCCAAAAGCTTGATAAGCACAAATCACAATTTTAACATAACAAAAGGTATATTTGAGTAACTCAATTTTTAATTCAAAATTATTGGGAATTCCAGTTTAAGGGGAAAGATGTCTATCAGCTAGTTTTCTTATTCCTGTTCCTGTTTTTCACTCTGCATTTAACTTCTTTTTTATAATTTTTTTTTTTTTTTCATTTTTTGTGGTTGACACCAAGTGTTAGAAATCATCTTATTAGTCATTACAGTATGGGGTGAAAAATGTGATTGAACTTACCAGGTATCATATCCAACCATTTTCATATTGAAATTATTTTTGTAGTGGCTTGTGGAAGACCACAGACGCTCTGTCAGACCTTTATCATAATTTTCTGTATTCTTAATAAAGAAAATTTAAAGCAGATTGTGGCAGGAAGTGAATTGTCTAACCCTATAGATCAGATCATGGGGAACAGTTAGAAGAGTTCCTAAAAACTTCCAGAGGAAGAGGTATCCACATGAATTTATGCCTACTTGTGCGGCTCCGTTTACATCCCATTATCCAGAGCAGCAGGGCATTCTGCAGTATTAACAAAAGGAAAATAAACCTAGATGAAATAATATGCCTTCAAAAACTGCAGCACAATACCTGTAAAGCATTCCACAGAGGGCTGTTAGACCCTTGGTTAACAGTCAGAAACTTCTGTGCCTTCTCTGGCACTAATTCTGAAGGCAAACTAATATTAGTAGGATCAGATTGCTACTACAGGTGTTTTATTCAAATATGTCAGAATATAATTACAAAAATTGTAAATTTACATGTTGTGGGGAGGTTTAAAACCTTTCTTTATAGTATAACCATATTTGGCTTGGTTATTTGATGAACATGGAAACTTGCTAAATTTTTTTCTTTTGCTTTTTTTTTTTTTTTGTAGGCAGCCTATCAGACTGGCAACTATACATTAGCCAGAGAAGCATTTTCACCACTGTGGGATTTTTTTGTTTCAAATTCTTCTCCACTGCCTGCAAATGCAGCTGTTATTTCTGCAAGTAGTAATTTGACTATATCTGAAAACAGGTAACTGGTAAAAACAAAATTAAAATACTAGTTAATTATAGATGTGCACGTTTTATTTTAAAGAGTACCAGATTGTGAAATTTTATTCAGACTTGTGATATGAAAAGCATTCTGAAAAAAAAGGTGTGAAATATGTTATTAAAATATAGTTGTTTATAATTAGCAGAGGAATTTTTTTTAAATTTATGGCACTGCTAGCATTTACACACCTAATTCTTTATGATTGTTTTCTTCAGATAATTGGGAAACATTTATAAAGTGGCTATTAATTCTGCGTGATGCATTTTCATTTGCAAAATAAGTAATATACCCTGGATTCTTGACTTTCCAATTAAGATAGCAGTAGAGTTCAGAAATAGTGAAAATTTTGTCAAGAACACCACCCAAAATGGGTAAATGCTTGCTAATTTTGTTTTGGGGTGGCTATATAAATCTGCCAATAATCTTTGTGTATACTAAAGTGCTTTAGAAGATATATTTAAGATTAATTAATTTATAAATAAATTTCAAATGTTCAACCATAATATTATGGGGTTTCATGATGACAAAGCCCAGCTAGAAATTTTGCGATTACATTCACTGAAATTCAGTAGATCCAAATGCAAAAATAAATCAAAACTTAATTAATTCCCAGTTAAAAGAAAGAGACCTATATGAAATAACAGACATGAAATACTATAATAAAAAAAAATAGCTTTAAATGTTAGTCAACTGCTTATAATTTGATAATGAATTATCATCCAGTATAACTGAACACAAATCATCATCTTCACTTATGTGGAACTCTTTTTAGACTAATTCTTCATTAGGAAAGTTTTGGCAAACTTGTGGAAGAGGTATGAAAAAATTTTGCAGCATCTCCATTTCAATTTGACAGACTGGCTTAGTCTTGAAACCATAATGACGAGAAGTAACCTTATTGCATGTGCGTTAATAGTTCTTGAATGTGTCAAGAATTAAAGAAGAAATACAGAAATGAAGATCTTTGTTTCAAGAAGTAGATACAGGGGGAATTCGTAAAAGTTTTGTCGGAATACTTCCGTTTCCTCTTTACAGACAGAATAACCAGTAATCAGCTATCCTGAGACATATAATGTAGCTAGCGTTTTCTCTACATTTTTTTTAATATACTTGCATCAGAGCCCAGGGTTTTCTCATGGTAATGCTGTTTGGACGCAAGCAGATAGTGTAGGCTTGTGCGTGCTTTGAATCCTGTTACAGGAGAAAGTAATGTGTCTAAACGTACTTCTTGTTATTGGGGGCTTAGCCAGACCACTGGTGTGTATCCTGTCTGTCCTTCAAGTGCCACCCCGTGTCTGATACTAGGCATAGAGATTGACCGAGGGTCTTGATGTTACATGCCATAAGAGCATTTGGGATTTACCGGCAGCCTGTGGACTGCATCGATGCAGGCAGATAATCACTACACGTCCTATTTCATGACTATGTGGATGTTTTAAATCCATCCCTGGCCTAGGCAACAAAGCAGGAATGCAAGTCTGGTCATTGTGCTTTTATTTTTGCACTTGTTTTTCATTAATCTTTTTTCCTAATTGGTTCTTTTTTTTTTCTTTTTAAACACTCACAGCTCCAGAGATAACATTTGAATGAAGCCACTTGCAGATAAATCAAATGAAGACAGAAAATTTTAAATAGCTGTGTAAAGCAGTTTCAGGGATTTTTTTTTTTTTTTTTTTTTTTACAATTAATATGGAAGATTCTCAAAGCTGCAGTATCAGAGCTGAAATAAGGCAGTTTCAGTTCTACCAATTGGTAGCTAAGAAATTAGATGGACTAGCCTGAAAGGACGTAGGACTTAAAGAGACAGTAGAGGGAGCTGGAAGGAAAGGAAACCTTTTGTTTCCAGAAGGAAGCCCTGTTGATACCTTGGTAATGTCAAGTATGTGAATGTGTCTATTTGATCTTCCTTCTTGAGTATCAATCTCTTTTAAGAAATACAATGGAGGAGAAGGAGGAATTTATTTCTTATACTTCAACATCATAGGTTTTTTCCTGTAACAAAAACATTAAAAAAAAAAAACAAACCAACAAAAAAACAAGGACAAAATGCCCCTCTACCCCCAGGGAAGAGAAAAAACAAACAACAAAAAAGCAGGCAGAAGAAAAGAGATTCTTTTGAGGCTTGTAATAAAAGATGTCGGTGATGAAAAGGAGTCTGTTACCAATACTTGGTAATGGACTTCACAACTGCATGCGTCATTGTCAGAATACAGAAAAATAATGTGTAAAAGGAGACAGTTAATAAATAAGTTGTAGCATCTCAAGTTTTCAAAGTAAGTTTCACTGGATTAGATGAAACGACTAAGGAAAAGCTGTCTTAGGGTAGTAGAAGGTGGCCAACAATTTGAAAAAGGAGTCTTATCCCTTTTATATATTTTTTTATGCTAGGAATTTTAAGCAATTTTTTCAGTTTTATGTATAAATCTTATTTCCAGAAGTAGCTACAGTAATCCTTTTTGTCCATAATTTTAAAATTAAAGATTGCACTTTAATATAATGCAGTTTCAGGCATGCAATATCTGAATCATCATTAACATGCTTTTACCGTTCTTTTGCTTTTTTATTTTGTAGGTTACGTTTTGAAGCTGTATCTCAGACTTCTCCTATTACCTTGCACCTTTTTCTGAGGAATATATTTGCTGTCTGTGACATTAATGTCATGGAAGGAGCACTCTTCTGTGATTCCATCTGTTCCAATGAGATACTTTATAAGGAACAAGTATGTGTGGCTTAAAATAATATACTGGATTTGATTTTACTTTTTGATCAGCTTTATTTCATCATTGCAAGATAGATGTTGCAATGTACTAATCCTATTTACAGAATACTTCATTTTCTGTCAGTTATCTGGTCTTTCTTTCTGAAGTATTTTAGTAGCTATTGGTTATTTTGTATCCTGGTAGAAAGATGGTTTCTGAATCAGTTATTGCCTAATCCAAAGCCCAGTAATTCCAGCTGAGGAAGGATTGTCTTTGACTTCAGTGGTGGTAGACTATAATTTAAGAAAAAAGTATAATCATTGTTATTTTTGTCCTACTAAGATGCATCTTGGATTTTTAATTCTAAACATTTCTGATACTTAATACATGTATTTCCATTAATACTGAACTTCTAATGGGGTTTCATGGTTTTAATATACTGTTTCTTTTATTTCAGACTTTCTTATAGTATAAGGGCATGTTAATGACACAAAAAACTTTTTCTTTTATTTGGAAAGTCAAGCTTTGCCTCTTGTATTATTACATTCCTATTCTACTCTTTCTTTGCTGAAGTAGTCATCTCGTAAAAATGTGAGCAGTTGATTACTCTGACTTTACTGGATCTGCTCACACGTGCAAGGACTGCAGCAGATAACTGGAAGGGAAAGGAAGGAATTGTTATCCTCCCCTTATCTACTCTGAGAGGTCACCATGTGAAATTTCCATTCCACACAAGTTGAGGTTGTTAACCAGGCTTTGTAAATCATATGGGTAAATTCAGAGGGCACAATTAGGTCAAGAACAATCATTTCCTTTAGAAATTCGTTTATATACTTCTAACAGGTGTCAATGTAAATTAATTTTTAGACTTTTTTCTTACTTGCTGCTTATACTGCTTTTTAAACTGCCATAACATCTGCCTTCTTTCACTCTCAAATGATTTAAAACAACAGAATTCATATTTGAATCAAAATGTGGTTTTCTTTTACAGGTTGCTAGATTAGCAGAATGCGAAAGAATGACTCTGGCAATTGAACTTAGCAATTGGTTGAATGATTCAAGTTACACCCTGCAGTCTGTTGTACAATGTTATGGTCTCCTTGCCCCAGTTATTTATCACAAGATTTCTTCAGTGCCAGTAGTTCAGGTGAGAGCATTTTAAGACAAAGCAGCTGGCATCCGAGTCCTGCAGTTGTAGTGATTCAAATTAAACTTACAGTGGAGTGTACAGTGGGAGAGCTAAATATCTAGGTTTTAAGTTCTTAGTAGCTGCTGAAAGAAAAGCCTTTTATGGTTTTATGTGTTCCTAACGTGTATACGTTCAGTGTAAGCTGCACAGATTCTACTCTCAGATATGCTAAAGTAACTGCAGAATATTGATTGTTTCTTCAGGATGATTTGTTGGTATTCTTAAACTATAGGAGAATCTATGATGTAACTTCTACTTGAATGCTATTTGCAGATGGCAATTTTGAGGAAAGAAAAACAGTATTTGCCTATGGCTTTTTTTTGAAATGTTTGCTTCATGTACAGGTTTTTTTTCTTCCTAAAAAAAGAAGGCTATTCAATGTTTTGATAATGCAGTCTTTAGTTTCCAGGCATGTGCTCCTTTCCAGAAGCAAGCACCTTCTCTTTGAGAACAGAGTACCTGAATCCTTTCCTGCCATTTCTGAAGCAGCAGATGTGCTTTTTCGATTCAGCCAGGATACAGTAGAAACATGCAACTTTTTTCCCATAATTGGGTATTTTTGTCAGGGAGCAGCAGTACGAGCATGTTTGCTCTGTGGGGAAGGATGAGGTGACTGCAGTGCAGGCAAGGCACAGACTAGCAGCATCTGAGCGTGGCAGACAGAGCGGGGTGTTGGTAAGAGGATCCACCGAGAGTCCAGAGAAGGTGAAGTTATTGGGCTGGCCCAGGGTCCATGCAGGAGAAAAAGTCAGGAGCTGCAGGAGTTGGAGCCAGAGACTGGAGACAAGGCTCCAACACAAGTGCAAGGTTCATCCAGGAGACAACTGAAGACCAGCACACCAATACCAGAGCTCAAGCAGGGACTGAAGGCTTGTGTCTGAGCGTAACTGGGACTGCTGGGCCCCTGGGCAGAAGATGTGAGAGAAGGCCCCAAGTGAGGCTGCTCAGGGAATGACTATCGGGGTGCTCAGGGCCCTGAGAAAAGTTTTTAGGAGTGTTTAGGGAAAAAAAAAAAAAATCTATTTACATACAGGGATAGCATCTTGCTTAAGAAGTCATTGGCTGTGATGACCTACTAAAGGCATGGCACGGCTAGCCACTGGAAACAGCTCCTGTTTCACATTTCCTAATTAAAGGGGAAAATAATTTAGTTGCATGTTGTTTTCATGTCTGATAGACAAAAATGGGGGAAAGAAGTCTTTTTATTTTTAGAGCATACTGGAAACATTTTTCTTTCATTTAAAATTCTGACCAGCTCAATATAGTTTTTACCAGTCCTCTACTAGGAGTATGTCATCTCACTGAATTAAGCATTCTTTGATTTCATGTTAATTAAATCAGCAAAAATATCCATCATGTATCTGTAATTTAATATCTGTGATTTTATGTGAACATGTCATTTATTCCAAAAGCCTGTGGTTTAAATCTTGACACCGTTAAATTAAATGGAAATTTTATTATTGGCTTTTGTAGAGCTAGCATTTCCTCTTATTCATTAGATTTCAAAGTATTTTTAAAGTTCGCCATCAGATACAATAGGCTGTGCAGAGGTACAAGCTTGTAAGTGTGTTGCGGACTCCAAACTTTGTTTTAACCCTTGTATTTACAGATCCTCATTAAGTGCTTGGCTGTCCTTCAAGAAATTCCAAGTGCTGCTTTGCAGAGGAGGCAGGCAGGATGTTATGAGAGTATTCAGCATATGATAGCTTGTACTTCATTTTATACAGCAAAGGTATGGTGTGTATTATTGTGTTTACAGCTTAGTTTAAGATACAGCTCTTGCCATTTGGAGGAAAAAAAAAAGGTTTAGTAAGCTGGCTGTCAGAGTAGTATCTTAGAGAACTGGCACTCTTAAATAGTAAAGGTATAGAAATATTTATTAGTGTCTTTGTACCAGTGCATTTTATATAATAATGACATTTTGACTTTGTAACTGAGAATTTTCATTTGTTCAGAAAATAGACTGTAACTATTAGTCTATGACATGAAATCTGTATTTTATATCTTTTTGTGTATTTTTACATTTAAGGCAGTACTGTTTTCATTAAGGCCTATATGTAATATATAAATTTAAAGGTTTAATTACTGCAAATAGGCCATATTTGTAGTTTAATCAGATTAGCATATCTGGCCTATTTGCCAAGTAGATACAAGTGACTTTATACCATTTAGTCCCACATGCTGGCAGGATACAAACACCTTGACTTTTAACCGTAACACATTATCTGTAGATCACATTTATGATTCAGAAACTCAGTCTATTTAGTGAGATAAGGAGAGAAGTGGTACCGGTAGGATTTTTTTCCTCGGGTATAGAGAGTGAAAATACCCGCCACGATAAATGTATGATGCTGAAGAAGTCAGCTTTCCTCTAGCTTCGGGTGCCCCTCGGCTAAGGCTGAGCTGTGGCTGACGCCGCGTGTTGGCCCAGGCACGGCTTGGAGCACGCTGGGAGACCGGCGTTCCCCCCACGTAGGAGCTGGCGGGGACGGCGAGCTGAGGGGGGGCTCCTGGGCCCATGGCGGGAGGGCCAAGGTGGAGGCTATCAAGGCCAATAAAGCCTATTAGGAACCTCGAAACCTTGACATAGTGCGTGTTTGTTGTTGGATTCCCCAGCTAAGTGACTGCTTATTCTGCTCGGGTTTTTTAAAATTTTTTTTTATTTTCCCCGTAGAGCTAGCATTTCAATAGAATGGCATACAGAATATCAAACAGAATGAGTGAATTGCAAGTGCTTCTGATTAATCCATGGTATATGGTTTTCTGCTGAGTTAGTCAGGCCATGTACTGTATTTATCCTAAAGTGATCTATACGCTTATGTTGTATCCCAAAGACAAACATCCTAACGTGAAGTTACCTTGCATATCGCAGAAGCACTTTGGCCTTTAGAGCTCTATCTAGAGAAGATAAAGCCATCTAAAAACATTCCCTACACTGTTCATTTATAAATTCCATAATTTAAAAAATAAATTTCACCAGTCCTTTCACTAATGCAGTTGGGATTTTCAAATGTGCACTTGATACCAGAGAGGTAAGTGAGGATCATTTAGTTACCCTTTATATTCTTTGATAACAGTACTGCCTGAGAACAGGGAGAATGTCAATCACAGCGATAGATGCTTCTGGTTAAATCTTTCTATTCTCCGAGGGATAGGTTAAGCAGAAGTAGAACACATAGATAACATATCTGCAATTCCAATTATTTTACAGGTCTATAGTCTTGTTTTTTATATAAAAGGAAACATAAGTATTGGCTAATTAATTTCCATTTCTAATATTAATGCATTTTGACAACTATAAGTAGAAAATAATGAAACATTATGTGTTATGCAAAACAAAAGTATATAACAGGTGATTCTCTAATAGGTACTACGTTCCTGGAAAGAATATGAACTAGCAGTAATTATTGTTAACTACGGGAAAAAATTGTTGGATTCCTCACCAACAACCTCACCCTGCCTGTCAGGAGCTCTAGAAACTGAAGAAACAGACACTAACAAAGAAGTTAAAGTAATTGCTCTGATTTTTACTTTTTCTTTTCTCTAAATACTGTATTCTATTATTTTGAAGACTACATTTATAAACTTCTTGTTTTAGAAGTGATTGTATGGAATAAGAGTTTCCTTGTAGAATAAGAGTTCCCAAAGTACAGCTGAGAGGCTTCTATTTAATTGTAGCCGTCTTAGTTAAGACCAGTTGCAGACTGCAGTGGGTACAGGGTCTCACCTTGTTGAACTGGAGAGGGGTTAGCAATACTACAATTCAGAGCCATGAGGATCCTGCAGGTATTTATACAAGCATCCCTAACTGATCTTCACATATAGTTTCCAGGAATGCTTTATTGGACAGAAAAAATAATTAAAGAATTGTATGAGTAAAGAGAAGCAAAAATATCCTATACTATGTAGACATTTAGCCTCTCCTTTCATGTTGCAGCTGCTTGAAACAGAGTCATAATAAGAGAGTAACTTAGGAATTGTCTAGACTGAAAAATATTTCTTGACGGAGGAAGGACTTTCAGCCACAAAGACCTTAATACTTAAATTACAAAGAGATGTAGCAGGTTGTGAAGATTTCTTGCAATTCAGAATTGGAGTAAAGTGTTGATTTTCCGTACTTTCCTGTCTGTTTTTTCTTTAAATCATTTTAGAAGAGATTTTACTGGAGAGGAGATTTGAAAAAGAGGAAAGAAAGTAGGAATAATGAGAGAGGAAGAAAGGAAGCAGTGTGAGCATGGAACAGATATATATTAAAGAGAGGGTCCAAAAGTCAATCAGCTTACAGGGAAGGATTTCTGTAAGAAAATTTGTAGGACAGTAATAGGATCCAGGACAAAATTTTCTCTGTTGTTTATTGCTGAGTTTGTGTTAGCTGCTCCCAGGTTCATACTGAAAAAGAGAAAGGAATCTAAGATCATAGGAACAATATAATATCTTGAGTTGAGTAGGGCTGACTGAAAATTATACTTTCACTGAAGTGAAAAAAAAAAGAACTTTCTTTCCAGAGAAAGATTTTTATTTCTGTAGGCAGTAAATAATCTACGAAAGATTTCTTTTTTCTGGAAAACAACATATTTTGTCAAACAATCTGTTCAAATATGTTGTTGTAGTAGTAGCATGTGGGACTTCCCTAAAAATTTATTTGGTGGCAGAACAACTCCACTCACTCCGTTGCAGATCTTTCAAGAATGAATCATGGCCAGGTTTTTGAAGCCATACTAAAAAATTTATGAACATCAATTCATTTCACTTGAATAGAAAAATAAGACAATACTGATGAAATTAACATCATTATTACGGAATTAGAAGACTTAGGATCTAACCTAAACTCCTCTATTGATCTGCTGGTTTTAGTTAGGTAAAAGCTAAGTTTTCATAACTATGTATTGGATATTTCAGACCCCTTCTGCAAAGACATCCCATTTAGCTGCAATGGAAAAAGCAACAGAAAATCTAAGTGCTCTTGAATCAAATCTGCTCAGACTGACAAAACCAGGTGGGTGTACTATTAAAACACTTACCTTTTTCTATGGAACTTTCTATGGTTTATTTGTAAAAATTATTTACCTAAGAAGTACTTTTATTTCATGTATCTTCCATGATAAATCAACCAAAATCATAATTTTGGTGGTCTTATTTATACCTGGTAGTGATGTGTATGATGACTTCTATTCATCTTTTTCATAATTTCCACCAAAACACACATTCCTTCTTAGAAAGGAATGGTCTTTTTTGTTCTATTCTGCAAATATATATGTTCTCCCAATCTGTGTAAATTGGATTCCATGTTATTTGGGCTTGCTTTATCTTCCTAAATCAGAAAATGCAGTGGCAAAGACCATTGTCCTTTTACAGCATGCCTTACTATCCTCCCAGTGCTAGTAGTAATGACCACTGCAGGGAATTTTAGTGGAGAAAAGGCTTCCTGAAGAAAGCTAACAGAAATTATCCTTTTTGTGAAGGAATTGGATGTATACTAACATTTAATTATCTTGTAACTCAGGAACGAACATACCAACTTATATATATCTTGTATCTTAGAGTCTGGATTAAGCACAAGAATTTTCAGGCTAATAGTTCTGCCGAACTTAGATGAATTAGTAAGTAGGACTTATAAAGGAAACTTGATTAGAACTTAAAGCCACTACTGATTTTTTTCCCCATTATATCCACATGGCATCTTGTACTCCTTGGAGCATGGACAGAATCATAGAATAATTTAGGTTGGAAGGCATTTATTCCGACCCCCTACTTAAAATACATACGATTAGATCAGGTTGCTCTGGGACTTGTTTTGAATCTCTCTGAAGAAAGAGATTTTGCAACCTTGGTGGGCAACCTGTTCCAATAGTTGACCACCCTTATGGTTGAAAAGACTTTCTTTGTATCTATTTGGAATTTTATGATTTCCAGCTTGTATCTATTGCCTCTTGTCCTATCAGCGAGAACAGTCTGTCTCCACATTTTGTATTCCTCCTGTTAGGTACGTGTAGACTCCTCTAAGCCATCTCTTCTTAAGACTGAATAAACCCAGTTCTCACAGCGTCTTCTTGCTTTGCCATGCACTCTAGCTCCTTATCATTTTGGTGGCCCTTCACTGGAATTAACTCCAGTATGTCAGTGTCTGGTACTACAGTGTCCAAAACCAAACACAGTTATCTAGATGTGGTCTCACAAGTGCTGAGCAGTGGGGGATAGTCACTTCCCTTGACCTGCTGGCTATGCTGTTTCTAATACAGCCCAGTAAGCAACTGGTCTTTGCTGACTCATGTTCCAGTTATTGCCCATCATCTCAGTATATGCATTTGTCTTAGAAGAGAAAGCATTTCTGTAATAAATAGGATAAAAAGAGTGACGCAAAAATTCCATTCATCTGTGCACTGATCCTTCATTTTTTGCTGCTGACATTGATGCCTGCATTCCTGTAGAATAAGATACAGAATGAATTCTGTAAGTTAATTGAAAATTACATTGATTGCTTATTAAGAATGGAACATCATTTTATTAGGAAGTTAAATTAATGGGTTGATCAGTTAGAGAACACATTTTCAGTAATTGGCAAATACTTGACAGCTGAAGTCTGCTCTGTTGCTGAAATAGTGTATTCATCAATAAGTTTCAGGATAAAAATTGAAGAGCATTCTTTTGCTGAGGCCATGCAAAACAAATAACAAAGCTTACAGCTATCCTTACAAATATGTGTAAGTGGTTTAGGACAATGTGCACACTCGTAGGGCATGCTGTTAAAAATATTTTGGAAAAAAAATCTTGTCATGGGCAATTCTTAAAAGTGGATCAACACTTAGCAATCCCTTGATGATAGTCTATGAGAAAAATGAAAAAGAGCTGAATCTGCCTCTTTCATAAGAAACTGAGAAAACCAAAATATTTCATACACAGTATGATTTAAATTTGGAAATTTCAAATGTTTTCCCATTTAAAACTTTTTGGGAGGTGTTATTCTTTGTGAAAATGCTCATTTGAAGCAATGTATTTTTGAACTTGTCAAATAGGAGAGAGTACTATTAAAGGGTGTGATTTGTCCTAAAAATAAAATAAAAAAAAAAATCTGCTTGTCCTGCTGTCTGTCCTATTTAATTGGACCTGATTTGCATTCAACAGACTTGAACTAACTGCTACCACTGGAGGGTGTAGCTATCGATCCACTATCACAACTCGTTGTTCCAGAGTGCATTTTTAACCTTGCTTTTTTCAGGGACTAGCTGCATTGATCTTTCAACCACAGAACTTGCCGCAGAAAACTTGTAGCTCAGGTTTCTTTACTAAGGCAAAATAGCAACTAGCAAAAGTAACATTGTTCTGGTGCTCATCAGCTGGTAATGCAGTTGTGTTTAACTCTCAGAAGCTTGAATGCAAGTTATTGTTCTCCTATATGTTAGATATACTATTTATATCTATATATTGTATATATTATTTACACCTATATTTAGTAAATTATTTATAGAAAGGTGAAAAAAAAAAAAATTCCTTTACCTACTTATGCTATCCATATGCCAAGCATGTATGTAAGCATTAGTCACTAGTAGCATCATGAGTACAGTTCATGCTATATAGCTTTAAATACATTTTTGGACATGTCCTTACTGCACAGATGATTTGTGTGAACCTTTGTTAGACCTCTGATGAACTCCAGACATCCTGCTCATTAGTCTAGTAGCTGGAAGTTCATCAGTCACATCCATAAGCTCTTCATTATTTAAGTGGCACAGCTACTTATGTTAGAAGAAAAGAGCAAGCTTTTGAATTTCTCTCTGGATGACAGTGAGAGATTTAAAAGCAAACTCTGTGCTAAAGAAGGATTTTTCTAGTCTTCAGTTATGATTCCAGATAGAGTTTCTGTTGTACACTATCACTGCTTATCCATAATGGATTTGATTTGGTTATTGATGTAGTTCGTGGATCAGAGCTTACAGGACAGGAAGATCCTTTGTTCCTCTACCCTGTAATTTCGTGTTGGACATCAAGCAATGCTTATCGAGAAGGTAGGATAATTTGTGTTTATTTTAATTGTAAAGGCTGCTTTACTTCAGAAGGTTGCCAGTAGAGCTATTTACTTCTTGCTTGGAATAAGCTCTCAGAAACTTTCTGTTCATTTTGTTCTCAAATATACATAATCAAGTAAAACAGCTTAAAAGAATTTCTTAATATAGTCACATTTGTTTATGAAATACTTGCAACAAATTATTTTAGATGTTGATGTTAAGTATATGAAATATTAATATTTTAAATAATTTAAATAATGTTTATTTTCTAATAATCTTAAAAACTAGCTCATTTTTTTTAAAGTTGTGTCAGATTTTCAAAGATTCTGTTTGTGTGGAATGTTCTTTTTAAATTGAGATACCCCATTTCCACATTAAATAACGTTACTGAAAGAGGAATTCACAAAAGTCTGAGTACACTTGCATTTTTGAAAGAGGATTTAAGATTCTGGTATGTAGCCTTTGCCACTGCCTTATTTTTTTTTTTACTGCTGTTCAAAATATCAATGGAGCCTAGCCTGTAAAATTAGTATAGCTTTCAGATAGGATAAATACATATTTATTTCTTGATGGTAAAAAATTGTGAAGACAGCCAAACAGTAAAAGCAGTTTGCAAACAATTAAAAAGCTGCCTAAAATCTAGGCAACGCAGCTCCACTGCTGCAATGAGAACTGTGTGATGCTTGTACACTAATGTGACTGTCACTGAGAAGAGCAGCCTAAGTGAATAGGATGCAGTTACTGTGTTTATACTTTATTCAGGCATGTGTACAATTAGGCATGTTGAATATTGTTATAAAAATATTTTTTGCGTTATGTACTGCATGATACAAAAATAGTTTCAAGCCAGTTTCCTCAGTCCCTAGAATGTTTGTCATTCTAGGAGTATAAATAGAGTGAACTTGTGATTCTGGATACCTGGTCACAAGAAGGAGTATTTAGCAACTGCTGTTGCGTATCATGACCTATCTGATTTTAGTATCAGTATGCCTTTTCTTCATCAGCATGCAACATGAGATAAATATGTGCTTTGAGACATACATAGCTGTAATTATAGCTGAATTCAGAAACCTGTTACAGCATAAATACAAAAACTGTGTTAATTATTTGTTACTTTATTGCAGTGATGAAATTCAGGAAGAAATCACGTTTTCTTGAGTTCTTTGTTCAAGTTTTGCACAAAATCCTGAATGAAGAGAAATTTCAATGTGTTCTGGAGTGGGCAGGCAATGTGCAAGTTTACTTGAAGAGGTAGATCTCTATTATAGTAGTAGTGAAAAAATACTACTTAGGTTCACCAATGTCACAGTTACAGCAGAAACTGTAAATTGTACCTGGTAGAAGACCCATCTGGAGCCATTTCTATAGCTCCTAGTCTGCAGAAGTTTCATGAACACAGAGGATTATATAGCTACAGAAAATACTGTATTGTGACCTCTTTATACATGGAGACTTCTCCCTTGGCTGTATGTGTTCAAAAGTCCTGTCTACCATTAGCAGTTTCTAGGATTTTCCTTTTCACAGACACCACTTGGTAATATGGCCATTTGCATATTGCTATGAGGCAGTGGGATAACTTAGAGAAGTACGTTGGGTTAAATCAAAAGCTGACTGATCAGGGCCTACTGTAGTGTCTAAAAAAAAATTCTATACTGAAAAGATAAGCAGAACCAAATTGTAGACACTTACTTAAAAGGATCCCAAAGAAATTTAACTATAACTTTGTTAAAAACACACACCAGTATTTCTAAAACTTGAAAGGCAAATAATCAATGAAAAGGAGATACATTATAGGGAACAGGAACTGCTGTTACAAAAGACCAAAAAATTTGGACATGAAGTTCTTTGCAGAATCCCATAGTAGAATTTGGGTAATGAAGCAAACTGTTTTGTTTTACTAGGAGTTAGGAAGGTGAGATAGTTACTGCCTATAAATTCAGATTTCTATAATAAACCTCCAAAGTGAGCACCTCCTATTTTCTGAAGGAGAAGAAGGAAAGAAAACCTGCTGAATTTAAAACTCCCAATGAAATAGGAGTTGTATGTGCTCTGCTCTACCTGTTCCCAAAGATAACCGTTTAACTATGAAAAGAGTTTAACATGATGATGATGATTTTAACGTTTTTGTTTGTCAGGAGGAACGACCACCTTCTCGGTATCAATGGAATTTCAACACAAGAAACACTTTCTCCCACTCTGCCAGAAGGCACGGATAGATACAGTACAGGAGTTGTGGAGTTTCAGAAAGTGAGTTTTATTTTTCAGGAGTTATGTATGTCTTCACTGGGCAGCAATACCATAAGCACAAAAATAAATTTTTAAAAGCTGTCTCATAAAAACCTCAGCTAGAGACATGCATAATTACTAAAATTTGGGATACAAACTTTAGTCCTCAGCTCACCGCAGCACGCCTAAAACCAGGAAGAAATGTTGGCATGGGATTTATCTGAAAGACCAACAATTGTGAGGAATTTGAGATTAGTCAGAGTAATGCATTCCAAAATCAATGAAAACTTGCCTTTCATCAGATCCCTTTAAAAAACCCCAATATGTTAATAGAAAATGCCTTGGGTACCATCACATTAAGAAAAGGAGATCAGTTTAGGCCTTTTGGTACAATACATTGTACTTACATTTTTTTCATGAGTAGTTGTTCATGAATAACTCCTTGTGCAGATATTCTAATTGCACAATAAAGGCTTTTTGTACAGAATTCTTTTAAAATAAATTTTTGCTTTCATTAGAAGGTGAGAATAATCTTAATGGATTTGTATTGTTTTGGAGGAAGAGTTTTCTTCCTCATAACCCTCTAGTAATGCTGTAACACTGCTAGCATCTGAGATAGATTAGGAAAAGGGTTTTCTGTCTCAGTTTTTGCATTGCAAAGTTTTACTATTTATAGTAATAGGAAAAGAACTATTGTTATTTTTGAGATGAACAACACTGGTATATGAAAGAAAATATTTGGGGACCTGGCTGGCTTCTTAGTGTCAGGCATTTGACATATACCTTCCAGAAAAATTGTAAAGCTTTCTGGAATATTAAATATTTCTTTTGCTGTCTTATTTTGACAAATAGTTCCAGAATTTATTTTCTGTTCTGTTCCTGCATAAACCAAACTGCTGTATACCTCAAGTAATTGATAATGTAGGTATAAATAAGTATTTGAAATATATTTAAGATTTTCATGGAAGATTTTTTTAAAGAGTATGGAGACCTCACCTTTAAAGAAACCAGAGGCATCAACTTTGAAGAAACCAAGAAAAGAAGACTTGAGTCCAATTCGAAAAAGACAGACTCTTAGACAGTATTTCATGAAACATCCCAACATAATGGAATCTCCAGAAGCACAAAGGTAAATGAAAACAAGTTGTCAGGTTCATATACAGAATAAAAATATTTTGTCTGAAATTTAGTTTACAATTAAGAATGTATTTTAAAACTTTTTTCTATCAAAAGGACGAATTTGTTCACAGTCCACTTACTCTTCTGTTTTAGTTTGGTATAAAATTGGCTTCCACTCAAGAGAACAAAATCTGTCTCATTTCTATTTCAGAGAATAACTGTTGAAGGTTTTGAAGTCTTTGTATTAATATTCAAAGACTGTATTTCAGTTGTGTTAGCCTGAGCATGTTGATTCGTCATGGTGGAAAAGCTATGTTAATCTGCATACTATAATGCTTTTCAAACTCTGTTGAGGAGCTTACCTGTTAGAAATCTAATAAAGGATGTTTATTTGTTCCTGATGTTCAGGTAGTTTCAGAGTGGTTTTTGTTATCCTTTTGCTAGTCTTTTTGGATTTTGTGTTCTGTAGCTTATGGAAAACTGTTTCTTGAGAGAAACAAATGAAAATTCATTCACCTCTTCTTTTGGCAGATAATTGTATATATTTGGTTAACTCGCTAGTAACGGTACCTTCTGATCTAGAAGAATTTGTATTATTGATTACCTGGTGCTTTGGTCACTTATGCTTCCAGCAATTAGCAAGTAGAAAACTAGAAATAGCTGAATATAAGCAATGACATAGCTGATTTGGGAAGTCTTTTAAATAAAGAACCTCAAAAAAGTCTGCCCTACACTATCTTTTAAATATTTACCTAAACCGTCCATTTTTCCTCCTCGACAGAAAACACCTGCCTCGCTTAACGTGTTTTTCATGGCTTTCAGTGGGAGAGAGGATGTTTAACTTATCCTGGGCTTTTTGGTTTTTCAGCTACTCTTTCATATCTTACATGATAACATTGCTGTATAATACAGTCATCATTGTATATGGTATACTGTTCTGCCCATGTTTTAAAGGTGGAAAACAGGCAGAAAAATAATTTAGATTGATGAAGGGATCAGTTTGCAGTTTCTAAAAAAGAAAAAATGAGATTTGATTTGACTACTGCACTGTAGGTGTGCCAGGTAATACAGAATTGTTTGATCTGGCAGAGAAACAAACAAACAAAAATCTATGGCTGGAAATTAAAGCCAGGCCTCCAAATTTGAAATAAAATGTTTTCTTCACACTGAGGATGATTAGCTACCAAAACACAGCAATAAAAAGAATGATCCAAATTTATAGTATAATAGTAGACCCTCCATCTCCTGAACAGGCTGTGTGAAACATATTGTATTTGCTATAATAATCTGTTTGGATGATTCAGGTACAAAAACCTTCAAACACAGAGCTAAACTCTTTGTAAGTACTAAGACAAATATCTTATGGAAGTTGTTAAAATATGAGCTAGGATTTAGTATGTTTTAAGTGCACTTAAAGAGGGAAAACACAGTTGCTTTTCTTGATGGCAGCAAAAATCCTTTTGCTAGAAATACGTCACATGCTTCTGAGTTAATACAAGTCTGTGGATATGCAATGGGATACTTCTGTGTGCCATTACCATGATTTTCTTTTCTAGAGCTTAAAGAAAACACTGTTTCATGTTTTGCTACTTCATGTATTTTGGTTTAGGAAATGCAAGAAAGAGTTGCAAAAAGTAGCTCGTTGCACCTTAGTGGTACTGCTGAATCCAATTGTGAGTAATTACTTAAACCGAAAGAAGTTTCATCAAATATGTCTTGAAGAGATGCCCTGGAGGTCTCAGATGAATATCTATCTGGCAGTTGCACACTACAACTTATTTAAAAAGAAACTGGAAGAGCAATATAACATTGGAATTTGTGGTTCACAGCATCTGGACAGGTATACCTTACTTTGTTATTAGTGACTGCTATTAATATAGGTTATTATGTTATTGCCATTAATGCAAACAGATCTGAATTACAATATCATCAGTCAGTTTGTCATATGAACAGTTCAGCTTCCAAATGCAGATTGATTTAATATGCAACAAGTTTTGCTTTCCATCATATGGCTGGTGACGTGCACGTTTTTGGTTGCTTGCTTGGCTGGTGAGATGAAAGTTTTGAAATATACTATACTGTGCTATTTTTTGATTCCTTATAACTTTTGGCTATCATTTCTGATTCCTAAAGCTGCTGGAAAGTAATCAAAACTCACTTTTGAGAAATTGAATTTTCTTTGTATATATAAAAATCCTTTTTAATGTTATAGCTGGGGTTTTTTTGTGCTTTCTTCTTTTTCTCCCTTTCTGCAGTTACAGTATTTTGGATCCTGAATTATTCTCATTAAGTAATTCTGGCACTGTAGTGGTGAGAGAAGCTGTAGAGAGTAACATGAGAACACCAATTCCTCCTCTCCTTAAAAAGTCAGGAATGACTGAAGAACAAACTCGTAAGAAATTCTAAGGGGTGAACAACTACAATCAGTTTCAACTTAACTTTTTCTTTCTCTTAATTTCTGCCTTGACCTCCATCATTAGTCCTCCACATCACCTTTGGAAAAACACTCAAGCCTATTCAAAGAGAAGGTGTTTCTGGATTTCGAGAATGTCCTCCGTATTTTCTCTTTTTGGCATACCTAGTCTAAAAGAAGTAATAGTCAATAATGGGGCATTTATAATAACTCTGAGCATTGTTTATTGTATGGATAAATATGTTACTTTTTATTAAGTGGTTATTCTTTATCTTTAGGAACAAGTTTATAAATTTTAATAAATCAGTAATACTAGCTTTTGGTTTGCAGAAGCCACACGACCTAGACCTATTAAATTCATAATATTCCAGATTATTCTAAATGCAATGATAATTGTGATCAGTTTCTGTGGTTGTTAATTGGTCTGTAGTTTCCTTTTGATTTCCTAACAGGTCAATAATTTTCTGGGTAATTCTGTAAGTCTTTCTTAAAATGTTAGACTGAATTTTTTAATTATCTTTCAAATTTTAAGTAGAATAATTTAGGTTTCCTTCTCTACTGCTTGCTCCCCAGAGTTTTTCTGTAGCAGAGGCTGCCTCAGGGTCAACTTCTACCACTTTTACTTCAATTCTGTCTTTCACATTTGACAGTTCTATCATCCCAGCTATTTTCATTAACATCCTTTGAGGTTTCAACAGGAGCCAAAAGGCTCTTCTCTGTAGGTAACTGTGAAATATAGGACTTTGATTACCTCAGATGTTGGTGATAACATACAAGTCAATGCAAAGCAGTCCTCCTAGCCACCATAAGTTCAAGAAGAAATCACAAGCCTGGTCTTTCAAGTAGCGCTTGAGGGAACACATTCTTGCCACAGCTGTAGAGAGCAAAATTCTCCTATCATTCCGTGTAGGACTTCCTTAGGTAGGAATCAACCATCCTCTTTGCCTTTTCCAGGGAGGTGTGACAAAAACTAGTAGTTGAATTAACTGGTTCTCTTTGCAACAGCCTACTTTTAGTTATACTCATTTGTCTTGATACTTACAAGTCACTGAGAACTGAGTCACTGAAAGTTGCTGAAAACTTATGAAAATCCTGTTTACTACCTCCTAGCCTTTGCGGCAATTCTGAATGAAAGAATTTCATGAAGTGTGTAGTTTGCCATAGAGTTCAGATACTGTTTAGCTTGAAATTAGTTTCTGCCTGAAACCTATAGTTCAGATATTACTGTATCCCACTACCATGAACCTTTGTCTTTCACCTTGGTGGATATTTGGTATTGAATAAAATAATGAAGCAATTCTACACATACCACAGAATTTGTCAGGAATCTTCCCTTCTTCCTAACTTCTCCTTTTAAGAGGCCTCAGTTTCAGAAAGGTTCTTGGGAGCTTGCCACACAGTGATTTCTTCCTAAAACTTAACTTCTATGAGGGTTGTGTTTTGGCTTTGAGGCTGAAAACTGTTTGGTACACATTATTATTTTGCTCAAACTTTTTTTTATCCCTGCTTCTCCCAATGCTAAAGTAAAAGCATCTTATATTTTAAATATCATAACCTTATAAATATGATAACCTTCACATTGGCATTTCCTAACATTTAAGTGTTTAGCTGCCACAGGAAAATCCTAGCTGGCTGATAATATTTTTTTATTATTATTATTTTTTGAGAACTTTAACTCATTTTTAACCAGTGAACTTTTTGTCTTCAGGCACAGAGAAATCTTCTGAGCAGAGCATTAAACTCGGTGGAACAGATACTCCGCAAACTCAAACGACAAACGATACAGAAATATCCGTCTCTTATTCCCCCAAAGAATACAACCAGTTTCTGCCAAACACCATTTTATTGCAGCATTTTACAAAAATCTTTTTGCATTTAAGAAGAGCGGTGGTAAGATACACTTTCTTATTAAACATTTTATTTATTACTAAGCATTGCATTACAATACTTACTACTCTCTACATTTAAAAAACCCACACTTCAGAAACTTCATAAAAATTTCAGTGGGGAGAGAGCAATGATTTCTCATCTTCCGCAAAATATCCAAGTGCAGTGTATGAAATGTCAGACATATCACCTATCTTAATGCATATTTCTATCAAACTTATAATAATTTTTATAAATTTTTTATTTTTCATTTAGTCTTTGTAACTTTCCTTCTCATGTTTGTTAAATCTTTCTGAAAATACTTGCAGACTTACCTTTCCCTTTACAGGTCTTAGTGAATGTCTCGGTAGTATAAACAGAAGGACCAGTGATTGAATGGAAATGCAGACTGACTACTCCTCCCATAAACCCTTCTAAAACCAAGTAAAAACACATATATAGGTGGTGTGAATTAATTTTTATTTCTTATTCTCACACCAAAAGCAACAATTAAATTCAATTATAAATTAGTGCTTCTATGAAAATTTCCAAATTAAGGTTCTATAATACTTTATATAAATTGAAATATTGAATGATTTGTTATTAAGGATGATCCACAGACTTCGATTTTGAAAGATTACTTATACCCAAGCTTTGCAATAAAAGAAGGAAGCTTTTAATTTCTTTATTTCCAAAGTGTAATTATATTTTGAATGCTATGAATAGGTTCTTGCTCACCGTGGTGGCCACTGGACGTTGCTTCAAAATGCTTGTCGAGAACTTTGGAACTATACTCAAGAATTACAGTTGATTGCTAACCACTCACATTCCCATACGGATGTATTTCCCATTACCAGGGATTTTCTTAGGAACACCATCTGGTTGCCTTTTTATTTGGCATCAGACATGATCATTGATATGATAACTGAACTACAAGCAAGCAGGTCTCTTAAGGTAAAAATTATTTTTATTAAGACAGTATACTCTTTATTATCACATCTTCAGTAGAGAGAGTTTTCTTTCTCCTGCGTTATATTGTTACCTCCAAGTTATTGTCTGTAACAAGTTTTTAGAGGATTACAGTATTTTCTAATCTTTATAATTTGATTTTTCCTAAAAAAAGTTTGAAAATAACAGGTAGAATAATGTTTCTTCACTGTAGATTGTGGATCCTGAAGGAGACTTCTGCATTCCCAGTTGTTTAGGAGGTATTATGGATGAGAATGGTGGTTCTAGTCTCCATCCGCAGTCTCCCCTGGATGACGTGAACGTGGTTGACTTGAAATGGATATGTAATCTGATTCTTAAAACAATAGAATTGTTATATCAAATGAAGAAGTGGGAAGCACTGGTACACATAGCTGTACAGTTTAACATATTTACACAGTAAGTTACACCAACGCTAATAAAAAAATAAAAAGCAACACTATGTAGTTAAATATACTGTTATTTTGCTTAATTAGTATACTTTGCTTTTTTTCAGTGAGAGATACACAGAACAAGTGAGTCCGCTGCTGGTATATGCTCAGAGGCAGCTGCTGGAAAGGATACAGCAATTCCAATTCAGTGGCCCAGACAGCCATGAATCTCGTTTCATAAAATATCTGTCTGATAATGCACAAAAGGTGAACCACAGATTTCTATTTTGGGCACTGACTCTTAATGTGAACTAAATATGGAGAAGTACTTTCACTGATTAGATTAATATTTTTTTCATAATGTTCACAAATAGTAAATTATAATGAATTAATGGACATAATTGGTTGAATTGCATGAAAAGGCTTATGTGACGTGATTCCAGCAGCAGCAGAGATCTGGACTTGATGACCCAGAGAACATTTCTTCCATGCATAATGTACCCATTCCATATTATGAGCCTAAATCTAATTTCATGTTAGTTCTTGATGCCGCTCTTTTAACCTGAAAACATTTATTTGGATATTGTGCAGTCTTTGTGATTAATTAAAGTTAAATACAAAGAGATTGCTTTGTTTCTGCATTGGAATGCTGCTTCTAATGACCAAAATTAATCAAACTGAGTTGACCTGAGCACTGACAATACCAATAAAAAACTTGAAAAACTTGATCACCACCAAAAAAAAAAAGTTCCTCATTAAAAGCCATGGCTCTATGTATTTAGTAAACTGACATTGCCACTTGGAAATTTTTCACGGAATTAGCTATTAAAAATTAGGATTTTCCTTTTTTTTAACCTAAGGTTTATTTCTAAGAAGTTTTGCTAAAGTCAATCGCATTGATATTATCAATATCAATCGCGGTTGATATTATCAATATCAGTTGCGGTTGATATTTTTAATATGTTTCTATTACTAATATAAACACAGGACTTGAAGGAGCAGGGGGGGAAGTGGGATCTGGAATTCCAAACGAGTTTGTTCTGAACACAAACGTGGGGTTCAGGAGCCACTGCCTGGCCTGGAGACAGCACGCTGCTGCCCAGGGCTTGCAGGGACTCAGAAGGCACCCCTGGCTTCCGAAGGGCAGCTGGGGCGCTCCGTCTGGTCTCCCGGTAAGGCTGTTCCCTGCTGACTTCTTTCAGGCTCTGCCCTCGAGAACAGAGTCCTTCGTCTAAAAAAAGGGCAGTGCGGCAAACCATCACATACTGCTGTTATCTGAGCAATGTGGACAATTAGTCATAGTTTTGAAGGACAACTTGCAGCATAAAGACTAATGTTAGTTAATAGTAATAAGGATCGTTCAAAAAAGACATCATCAAGTTAGAAATTTGGAGGGTATGGCTACATTTCACAATGCAGTGCCATTCAGAGAGTCTAGAACTAGCTCCGAATTGGTTCTTTTGCTTCTGAAGTGATGTAGCTACATTAGCAAAATAAAATGTCTGTGCTGGATTAGCCCTTTATAGAAGTCTGGAAGTTTGCTTCTCTGACAGGGTTAGACTGCTGCTGTTATCTGCATAGAGCTGTTTTGTATATCCCTATGCAGCAGCATTACATTGTGCTTTACAGGCAGTGTGCTCTTCAGGCATGCTTATACTGATAGGTTCTTTGCAAGTATGCATTTATCCACGCAAAAAAATGTGAAATATTTGCTGAACATCTTGTTGCTCGTGATTATGGCAAATACCAAATAAGATACAAGTTTACTTCATTAACATCTGAACACTTATATCCAATATTTAGCTGTTGTGAATGTTTCACCTCTTACTGACAAGGGTACTAGTTATGGGTCATTGGTGTCTTTGTAAATTAGTCCTCTTAAATTTTGTCATATGACTGAGTATTTAGATACTTAACTTTAAGCACCAAACATTGATTTTTTCTGAATATTATTCAATTATTATGAAACAAACCTTGCTTTTTAGATGAGTTGCAGAAACTACATAGGGCAGAAATTACAGCTGCCTGTTGTCCATTCTGATAGTGAACGGATTTTTCCTGGATGCTTTTTCTATCCTGAGGTGAAAAATGATTACACAGGTCAGAGCACATTTCAGTTTCATGAGTTCTCTTTTCTCCCAAACCCTTTCCTTTTTTTTCATACTGGGATATTTCTTTTTTCCTCCTTATTGTAGGTCTTCCACTGCTCCTACAATCTGTTTCTTCTAATATAAACTCAGTTTTGTCTTCAGATTATTATTCTTGATATTTTGGATGGGTAATAATGTTGTCAAGACCTTTCCAAATATATTCAGACTGTATCTGAAAGCAGAGAAAAGCAGTTGTCATACAGATGCCAGATGACCTACAGTATGTTGAATGAGCTTGGTGATCTTGGCCCAGTTTTCCATCAGTATTGCTGGATATTCAGCAATATACCCAGAAGTTAATGTGAGCATGCACTGTTATCCATAGAATCAATAGAAAAACTGAAGTGAGCTATAAGGTGACAAAACACCTCTCTTACCCCCAGTTGTTCTTTTCGGTCAGGATTAAAATGTTATAGTCATTAATGGAAGTTTGTAAAGCATAGCTCCTCCTATCATAGATATGTCAATGCATTGCACACAAGGCTTTGTGTTGAATTCAGCTGAGGAAAGTCATTAAACAATAAATAATGCGGTATGTAAGGAGAGCAGGTAATATTATGCATTCAGTGGAGAGAGCATGCCAACTGAGAGGTTTAGTCCACAGAAACTATGGTAATTGTAGTAAATAGGATCGGCAGTTGTAGTAAAAGATTTGTTTCCAGGCTTCAGACACCAGAATTCAGAGCAGAGAGCTGAGCTGAGGCATGCCCAAGGCAGATGGAATTCAGGGAATACAGATGTGACGTGACAACTAAAAGGTAACAATGAAAAAGATGTAAATGCTCAGAAGTGTTCCTGGTGGTTAATAATTTTCTTTAATTCATAATCCAACAGGAAACAAAGGTGACAATTATGTTAATCTGTTTTAGTTTTGAAGTTGTGGAATTGTTTAAATATATGTTTTGCAGGGTGATTTACTAAAAATATGTATTTATGTAATGCAAAATTGTTTCCATAATTATTAATTCCTTTTAGATCACAGTCAAGCAAAAGCCCTAGTTCATGTACCTCTTGATGTGAATGATACACTGAAATGTTTTAGAGAAACTCTACAAAAATCTAAATATCACAGCAGAGCACTGAGACACAGCAGAAAACTGCTTTCATTATTTCTTGCACACACACAAGGTGAGTTATTTATTGTAGTGTTTCTCACTTAATAAAGTGTATATGCAGTTAAAATAGTAAAGAGTGAAAGGAATAGATTTTTTTAATTCAAGTTTTAGTTGTTATTGACAATTAGAAAAAACATAGAATATAAAGTTACATATCATGTTCTTTAAGCACAAGCTCTAAGCCTGATTTCCTATGATTTGTGTCTCACAGTTGGATGGTAAATTTTTTTGTCATGCAGCTGTGTCACTTGTCTCTCTGCAGCCAAACCTCTGTCAGAGGACTGACTGGCAGATCTTCTCAAGTTTATTTCCTCTAACAAAGCACATATTTTCATTTGGTTGCACTGACCAATGAGTTATGTCCAATGAGTTTAATTAGGAGACACGCAGACAGAATCATAGCATAGGAAACCAGATAAAAATAGAGTACACAGGAGTTGTATATTTGTTCGAGTAATGTGGTGTGGAAATATTTGTGGTGCTGGAAATAGTATAATACTTTTCCAAACTGATCATATAAATCACTTTTCTGGTCTAGAAAATGCTGGAAGAGCAATCAGCAGTCATATCTCTTCAAATAGAAGGCTGGAATTTAATGTGGGAGATGAACTGATATTTCTACCAACACCACGTGACCTTTCTCAAGAAAAATTTAATTTCTCCTGTATGGTTGAGAGTAAACCCATACCACAGTCACAGCTTTCAGTAATTATCTCTTCCTATGAACAAACAATTGGTAATTTTTTTTTTCATAAATTTCTGTTTACAGCTAAGATGTAATATCATTCTACCTATCTGTGTTCACATATGTTGATTCCAGTGTTATTTTCCTCTGTCAGACAGCAGTAACTGTCTGAAAGCTGGTTTCCAGAAATAGACAATCTTCTTTCTGTTGATTCAGAAAATCTGCATTAGATCCTAAACAAGCCACTAGTTGGTTCATAACCTCTACAGTTATGTCATCTTACAAAAAAGCATTGCTTCAGTGGTGTTATACTGATGAATCCCAAATTAAAAATCTGCAGTGTAATGTTTAGCGGATTAATTTTAATTCCATGATAGTGGGGTTTTTTTTCCTACCAAACAGACCTTTTGGATTCTGTGCATTTGAAAATGAGACCTGGTTGCGTGGCTTACATCTTACATTCTAGTAGGGCTTTACTCATACAGTTACAGCTCAGCACTACTACCTGGTTTGCCGTATGACAAAATAGGTGAAGTGTAGCAGGTCAACAGATGCCGTAAGTGGTTTTATTAGAAGTAAGGGATCCAGAAATGAGCCAGGGATAGGGCTACTGTGCTGTATGCAGGCAGTGTTGTTTAGCAGGGCCAGTGGCCTGCTTCCCAGTTTATCTCTTGAAGAGGAAGAAATTTGACAGGTCTGAAAAAAACAAAAATACAAAAGTTTAGGTAAACAGGTCCATAAATACAACCTACTCTAGTTTTTAAAGTTACTAGAAATAAGAAATTTTATATTTGAAGGTAAAATATACAAGCCTAATAAATCTTTCAAAAATATTCATGCATTGAATTACATGTGAATGCATGTCTACTTCTCATACAAAATTTGTTCACGATTCAGTGACTGATTTAATGATGTGACAATATTTTTTTCTAATTGATTAAAAAATAAATAACAGGAATCCTTGAAATAAACAACCAGAGAGACCTCAAAGTTCAGGCTCTACATGAACTTGGAAATCTTCACTTTTACGCTGGAAACAAAAGGTATATAGTTACTGGATTAAAAAAGAGCATTGTTACATTATTTTTTAATTGGCATTCATAAACCCTTCACCTGTCTTGTAAGTTCTTGTGCTGTCCTCAAGTCCATGTAACTTCTTTCATCTAACTCACTATTAGCTATATTTTCAGAGGCTTTTGTTCTGGAAATTGTTTATTTTTCTTAGCTAGCTAATTGCAATTAAGCAAATTAATTAAGCATCTCTCTGTGTTTTTAAGAAGTAATATCTATTGCTTGACAAGTCCCAGTAAGTCTGTTGACCAGGAATGGTATCTTTTTGTATTGTAGAAACTGTAATTCAGTTTTTGACCTAATCAGAATTTCTTATATCTCATGCAATAAAGGTAAAAGGAGGTGAGTCTTCCACTTTGGAAAATGTCAGCAATATGATGAGAACATTTTTTATGTGTTACAGAGCTGCTTTTAAATATTGGTGTCAAGCCCTTGATGAAACACTCAACACTGCTGATGCTCTTAACAACTGGCAAGAGTTAGGTTTTCTAAAAAATGCTACAGACTGTTTTGCAGTTGGAAGATCAACTGATATTAGTCAGAAATTTCTTTCTCGGGTTGGCGTTTGGGGATGTTTACATGCAGCTGTCTTAGTGGCTAAGATAGCTCAGTAAGTATTTTATCTATATATGTACTTCTTTCATATTTTAAACAAATTGCTCATCCAGGACAGTAAGCAACTTGAAACTAAAGTAAAACCACTAAGGAGTTGCTATAAAAAAGACTCATCAAAAGCAGAGGAGTTTTTTCTTTCAGGAAGAAAGTTGGTCTTTTGAAGAATATTGTTTGTTCCCTTTTCTTGAGTGCTCATCTTTGATCGTAATTGCAGCTGTATATTATATGGAGAGATCATTGAAATAAAATGATAAAAAGTCATAAGCACAAGGATTTTATGGTCATATTGATTTTCAATTGAAATATCACATCTCCCAAGTCATTGCACATATTAAATATTAATGTATCTTGAGGGCAGATTTACTGCCTAAAGTACTCATTTTCTGGTGAATTACAACTAAATGAAATTTGAATTACTGTATTAAAGTCTAGCATCAATAAATATTTCTGTCCAGTACTCCTTGACTGCTGGTAAGACACTATGGATGTAATTCTGAGCTGTTTCTCAATGTATTGTATAGTATAAAAATGTACAAAATATGAAATTTAGAAATATCTAAACCAGTTCTAAATGACCTTAGAAGCATTATACCCATGAAAGGGCAGAGCTTCATCTGAGTTACCTGTCTTACCTGAGAAGCAGGTCATATTAATAGCACTGTAAAATATCTGTAAACCAAGGTAGCTTTGAAAGTATTAGCATGGGTATTTCAGGATGAAATGGCCTTGCCACATTCAGAATTAGCACCCAAGAGGAAAAGGACTTTAGTTTAAGTCGATCCTAAACCACAGCTCTTCCAATTCTGAGCTGTGGTGCAGTCTTGGGTCCCATTAGGCAAGACCCAACCCCTAGCTGCTTTTACAGGGGCTTGTGGCACATATTTGCTGTACTGTGTACTATCCCTTTACTGCTAATATGTGCATTCCAAATCCTGACAGGGATCTGGAGGGAGCTATCCTCTTGGCTTCTCCCTCAGGCAGATCTTTTTCTATTCAGACCTGACTTGGGCTGTTAAACATCTTTCCTTTGAGTTGCTCTTTCTAGAGCAATTTAGTCTCAGGCTGTAAAATGCAGATTAAAGGTTTCTAATATTGTATTAAAGATTTCTAATATTGTAGATCTGATAAGTACCCTACTACCCAGATGGTTTAAAGCTCTGATGAAGTACTGTGTGGGATTCATTTAATCTATCTAGACATCTACCATGTGAAAGTCCACAGGTGCTAGTTATCTTAGGCTTCCTTTATGGAAGGAAATCCACTTTTAAGGTGTGAGTTGCTTGACCTGCTTTATCCATCTAGTTTGTTCTGAGATGAGTTTTGCATTTCGATTGCCTGTTTCTCTCCCTTTACTTTAAAGAGAATCTAGACAACACTCTTTTTATTTAGGTCTGTTTTTGGTCAAATGCTTCTTTCTTTGCATGGCATGGCTGAGCACCTATCTACGGAACAGGCAGCTGTTTTCCAATATGGAAAACATCTAGATTATGTTAGTATCATTATTATACTAAATAGAAAAAAAGAGTTTGACTAATTTGTATTGATGGGCAAATTCCTATTTCTTATTATTTGTTGTACTTTAGGTATATAACAACATCAAAGATGAGATTAAGAACTAAATACTGCTATTTTTCTGCTATACTTTTTAAGGTAAGAATACAACTTCAGTTAGAATTTGTGAAGTTGACAAATTGCTTCTAAAATTTAAATCTCAATAACCCTCTATTAAAATATTTCTCTTTTCATTTTGATTCTAAAGGAAAACTGGAGATCAGAGGTAATTGACAATTTATGCACATAAGATTAGATGGTTTTATTCTCTGTTTTTTAACATTATTCCTGTGTTATAGCCTAAAAATTATCACTTCAATAAGAGGCTAGTGTCGCAGAGAAATAATGAAATACTGAAAAGTGAATATGGCTAAAATATTTGGCAGTCAAATACATTTTTCTTCTCTTGAAGTGTTCTGCTTAGGAAGAGCTGGATGGCATCAACAATAGCAGAGTGCTCCCTCTCAGATCTGTACAGAGTCTTCACAGATTGTCATAAATTTTCAACCAGGAGAACAGACTCTTCAGAAAAAGAATTTTTTTTAATCTTTTTTAGCATTGAAAGATACTGGTTTGTAATACTAAAATCTCAGCTCTGTAGGAAGTTTGCTCTAAAAATAGAGGATAGTCAAAATGATTCAGTTTTATTTACAAAGAAAATAAGATCATTAAAATTAAATTTGCAAACTTTCCGAAACCAGCTATAGAGGAAAAAAGGGTTTAAGTTTACTTCTTTTAAAAGGAAGTTTTAAGATACCAGTAACAAAAGTGATACAGGAAAAAGAACTGCAAGTGTTCTGGCAGTCATACTCCACTGGGGTCAACGCTTACTCATCCAAGCACAGCGTCAGGAAGTTAGCTGGCTTCTTCCAAAACAAACCAATGCCACTTTCTAACATCTTGTGCCAGCCATGGTTGTGACTGTGTGACCTGTGCTAGGCTATGTTTAAAACCTCATTAAGTTCAGCAAAGGGAGAACAAGTTGAAGAATTAAAGGTAAAGGAGAATTTTGACTAGCTTCTAGCACTGTAATTGCTGGTGGTACAAAGCTGAACAATTTTGATTTCTCCTTTTGACAGAAATAGTAGTAAGCATTTGCTCCAGTTGTATAATGGTAGAAATAATTGTGACTGGGCTGAAGTGGGTCTGATATTAATTGGGATAGGAGCAGCTTGCAGGGCGAGTGTCTTGAAAAATATAATCAATTACCGTCACTGTATCTTGCGAAGTTCAAGCCCATAATTTTTTCCTTGATTTGGAAAGCTTTCCTAACCTTATTTAAATTCCATCTCTGGTATAGGCTGTAGGCTTGTTAATATCTCAGATCTGAGTATGTAAATGCATATTTCTCTAGCATATCATTGCTAATTACAGCAAGATAAACACAATTGGGAAGGAATATCCAACATCAGAGACCATGTTAGCACTCCTCCCTTTTCAAAGGAGGAACATTTAAGTTACTTCCTTAAAGTTCACATCAGTTTTAAGTTATATGATTTAAGCTGCACTAGCTGACCTAGTTAAAGGTGTAACTAGGGTGGAACTAGTTTTTAACTGGCCTTAAAGTCAGCAACTCTCCCAGAAACAATGGCTGAGGTGATGACAGGGCAAGGACTTACAAGTAAAATCAAACTAGCTTTCATAGCTTGTGGGGAAAATAAAAAGATTTTTCTTCTTATGGAAGACATTTTCCATGAAACATCTTCGGACTGGTAAAGAAATGTTTGAACACACCCCCAGAATCATCTCAAATTTTTCCTATGCATTTTCCTTGACTATGGAGATGCTTGAATAAATTATCAAGTTCTTTCTGTCTGCTGATCAGAGGCTTATCCTAAGAATTACCTAAGAAGTCTTTGTGAGAACCCCTAGTGATTTATTAGGTTTTTTCCAGTGCTTCCAGAGATTTCTTTGGGATGCTTTGACTTGGAATCTGAGAGAAATGCTATTTGCTCTTTAGGAAGATTTTTCATTATCTGGGGAGTATGTGCTGAGGAATCTTTCATGATTATTTTTCTACACCTAGATTAGTTTTTCTCTTGCTTGTTCTATGAAATACTGTCCTTAGACTATTTACAGCCTGTTCTTTTTTCCTCCTTCAAGTTCACACATAAAGCATTTTTTCTAAAACAGATTTTTCATGGGTTCATCTGGAAAAAACTGGATACTTAAGACATTGACTGAGTTTCATTTATGAAGTCATTTATGAGTCTCAAGGGTTGAAGTTTATTATAGTGTTTCACTAATGCCTATATTTCTTTTCACAAGTAGTTCATTATTTTTACTTTCAGACCCTGTTTAGAGTTTCTCTTCCACATCCGACATCTGACTGTGACTTTGCACAATATGAAACAAATATGCTTATTCCTGGTATTGACTTGTTCTCTGATCGCTACAGAGCTGATATCTCTACTGTAGTTGCAAGTCTGAATTTTCTTATGTTTGAACTACATTGTGCAAAACAAAATTTAATAGTAAGTATTATTTTTATACTCTGGAAATTAATTTTAAGACGTTGAGTCTTTTTGTGTGTGTGTGAGTGTACTTATGAGATACCTCAGAAGCTCTAACAAAATACCTGTATGGTTAGGTTCTGTGGCACTGCGATAGAGGCAAGGTATAACTTGCTGCCTACAATTTTTACAATATAGAGGATACTTGTTTATTCAGGAAGATGACAATACATGGTCCACTTAGCTTAGGCACTTTAGAGGAAATTTCCTGTTATATACAGTTTGAAATATACAGTACTGAGAATTACTTTAAATGCGGTATGTCCAAAATGCTTTCAATAATTTTACTTACACATTCAGTAAATAAAAGTCCCTTCTGCCTTTGCCCTTCTCACATTCTCTTATTCTTCTGTATGGAGCGTTTTTACAGCTTCCCTCTTATGTTGATCATGTGCTTATTTCCTCCATTTAATGACTGACCACTTCCACTTTAATAGAACTTCTTTCAAAGGTGCAGTGCTGTACATTAGAATAAATAGATGGAATTGCTTACTAGTACTGAAAAAGGTGCAATTCTACCTCTGTTCCTGTTTGGGCCTGTATGCTCTAACAGAGTTTCATGTCAGGCGATTATTGTATACCTCTATAAATCAACTCTCAGCATGACAGAAAACTCCCCAGCAGAAAAAGTAGATTGTTTTCTCCTGCTTTAATGAGTCGAATCCACTTATTGAAAAGTCCTGCGAGTGGCAGAGCCAGTGCAAGGGAGGGGAAAAGATCACGTGGCTGGCGGCAGGGGAGTGAGAAAAGGTCGGGGTGGAGATGGAAGAGGAGTTAGAGAGGAGGATTGCACCCTTGTTGTCAGCGAGCCATTCGTTGCATTGATTTCTTCTGGAACTGCAGGCTAAGTGTCGGTCTTACCGCCTGTTGTTGCTTCTTCCCACCATCCTGCTTTACTGGAGTTCACTTTGTTGTTGAGCTTTGTCTGACTGCCCTCGCTATGGGAGAGCAAGTGAGATCAAGGAGCAGTTACCGGGAGGCAGGGACACTTAATTTCACTGCTTGCTTCACGTGGCCGTGCACGTTTTTGATTCTCTCTACACTTGGACTAGTAGAATATAGATCCAGGTCATAGATCGTGGTCAAAGCAATTGCAGTTTCAGCAGGATGAGAGCTTCATTTCCACTGAATGCTTAATGTGTGGGGATGTTTTGGATGGTGGGCACTAAGTTGATTTGACACTTAAATCAAAATACATCAAGAATCAAGTTTTATTAAAAATAAAACTTCAAAGACTAATTCTGTTGAACTACCTCAAATATCAGTTGGAAACTGTATGGGTACAATCAAAACATTTGCCTTGAGCATTTTTAATCCAAATTCAGAAGTATTAAGCTACTTTATGAAAACTAAAAGTGCTTTTGACAAAAAAGTAACAATGCTGTTAACATTTTCCAAGCTCGGGGACATTTTAAAGTGAAGAAAAATGTAAAAGCTGAACAGTAATTAAATTTTGGAATTTCTTCTATTTTCAATAAACAAATACATCTGTTATGAAAGAATCTGCTTTTTCTGAAATATTATATAATAATAAATACAGTGTTTGTATACTTTACTAGAATTCAGTTTTAAAATGTTTTTTGTTAGTTGCGCCTACAAAAACTTTCAATTTGAAATGAATGCAAATAAATTTGTCCATAAGCCTCATCACCATCCAGTTTATTTTACAACTGGTATCGTTTCACTTAGTTGCAGGATTTTTTTGTGTTTATTTTATAAAGCTTACAGAATTCTATTATTCTGTTACTTATACTGAAAAAAATATAGCATCAAAATGCAGACAGTTTTAGAAATTCCTTATATGAATATATTTCCAGTAGGTTTACTCACTAATGGTATAGTAAAAAACCCTGTCTTGAAGACAGGGAATAATTTGGGGAAACTTCAGTTTCTACATTGTGAATCACATACAAGGTAGTATAAGGGGCTAGCTTTAGCTAGCTGAAGAACTTTTCAACACATTCATCCTTCATAGAGCGTAAGAGAAGTAGTGGTGGTATGTGGCAGTGAAAGCAGTACTCCTATATTATCTACATATTTGTGATATATAATTGCAGTGTACATTTCTATAATTGTACCCTTTATGACTTTTATAACTAGATGACCTAATATTTTCCTACAGATTTTACCATTGTTCACATTATACCAATACATTGTTTCTGAGATTTGTAAGGACCCAGCTAAGTGTATTGAAGGAAGAATCTTCAAGGTAATCAAACAAACTTTCTTTTTATGACAGCACATTGTATTTCAAATAAGCATTTCACTTCTTTGTTTAATGTAGTAAATTTAATATTTCCTCATATATGACTACTATGAAAAGTAATGCTTTAAAGTCCAGCTGTTGCTTAGTGTTTCTTAGCACAATAGACTGTAGAATAGGACTACTTTCTAAATGCAATTATTATTTATATTCTCAATTTTAGTAGGATGTAGAGTTATTTATACAGTTTTACGGTTCACGTCCTACAGAGACTGTTAAGTACTTTCATCCTTTGTTCCTATTCTCCATTTAATGAGCATCCTCCTTAACGATACTATCATAAGATTTTTCCTCTCAGATCCAAACTTTTTACTTGGTAATTTTTTATCTTGTTCCACTGTTCTTTTAAATGTTTTCTTAAGTGCAAAACATAAATGACTTTTTGTCTACAATGTTCACTTCTGGATTTATCAGTATCATGGTGGAACCAGGCTGTCAGACTTCTGGGAACAGACTTGTGTCATTTCACTAATGTTTGCTTGTTGGTTTTGTTTTGGTTTTTTTAATCCCTTTTTTTAAAAGGAATCTAACTTGAAGTAAGAGTCAAAGTATTATTGGTTTTAGGTATTTTCAGGAAACACTGGTATGGGTTAGGGAGAGTAGCTGACTACTGCAAGACTAAGATGAATAAAATCTATGAAACAGATTTTGATAAGAGGCTGATCTTGTACTGACGCTCAAAGCTCTAGCCAGATGAATTAAGTTCTTTTCCTTTGTCAGAAGCAAGTTTTTGAAGAATACCTTTTTGGTTTTTTTTTCACTTTTGTTTCTCAAAGTGAAAGACCCATCTTTGAGATTTCACTTATTTACTATAAAATGTCAAAGATTTCTTTCCATTGAAGAACATTCTCCATCAATGTACTACTACTCAGTAGCCAAATCCACTTGAAAACTACCTTTGAATACATTTTATTTTGAGCAAAAAGAATAACTGAAAATTATTTACATCAAAGGCTGTGTTATTTTTTTCACAGGTTAAAGTACTTACAGATATAGGATTTTTTACAGAGGCCTTTCATGAACTGGCTTTGCTTAACTGTGGAGAGAGAATTCCATGGAAAATACCTGCAGGATACAGAAAAATTGAACAAATGAAGGTAAACAGCATTAAAGTATAACATTGAACTGTAACACTCAGTTCTCTTCATGAAGCTGCACATACTCCACATCTGCACGTTATTACATATTCCTAAAAAATTCCAAATTTCTTTCAGTAGGCAGGTCAAATAGTAGGCATTCAATGACATTAATTTCTCTCACTGAACAGCAGGAACAAAAATAAACTTTGAAACCTGCATGCTGTCTGTTTTATACAGTAAGTGATGCAAATATACTGCTGGAAAAATAATGAGTGATTTCATATGTAGACCTAAAAAATATAGATAGAGTTCTTGCCTCATTAATGGCAAAAAAAAAGCCAGGAGCAGGGTAGCTGAGGGGGAGCTGGAGACCGGCCCTGCTGCGGCATCACTGGGGCAGGGACTGACGGTCCCGGGGGGCTGACATGGGGTCCTGGGACCTGGGCAGCATGGGGAGAGCCCCAGGAGATGCTGGGCAGTAAGAGCTATTGGTGCCCTCAGAGCCTTAATAGTCACATCGCAGCAGGTCAATCTCTCTGATTTTCTCCATATTTGAAGCCAAATGGTGATCTTACCTTGACCACTAATGTGCTACAGGGTTATAAAGCTGTTAACGATTGACCTGGGCTTCTTTGTCTTACCTGTGAGCATACCTGTGCAGGCAGATACAGTCCAGAGCTATCAGGCAAGCCTCCCCCATAACAATTATGTAGCCTTTCCTTGTTTTCCAAGTCCATACCAAAATAATCTAATGAGTTATTACTAGACAGATGTAATTAAGGTCTCCCTTACCTGGGTGGTGCTTTTGGGAAGGTGTCACCCCATGACAAAGTATGTGTGCCAGCACTAGGGAGCTAATTAATAAGGGGATAATTAAAATTATATTTATAATAGTATGTCAAATGTTTGCATTTATGAAAACAGAAATATGGACAAGCACTCCTTCTAGAACAACCTGCAGTGGTACTAGGTTTTAAATTAAACAGGAATTTAATAAAAGTAAAATTAAAATATTTATCAAGAAAGATGACCTTTTTAATTTGCCAGTGACACTTTCATACTAACTGCATGGGAAGATAAGAAACTGAAATCTAGTGTTTTTCCTTAGAGCACAAGCTACATTACATTTTCGCTAGGTTGAGCCATTAAGGGTTATCAGCATCCTCACTGGAGTTGCTTCTGCGAAGCTTTCCTGTTCATGGCTACAGTAGAATGCATTTACTCCTTACTGCTGCTAGTCAGGTTAAAATGCATCTTTAAGTCGTTTCCTTAGTCTGTATATTGTCTGAGGAGCTCACAGAGTTAGGCTGAGGTGTGGTTGATTTGTGACTTGTCTTTTTCTAACTGGATTCACACGTGAGCGTTTGGGTGAACAGCAGAGGAGGTTCAGCATTAGGTGTCTGGCTAGAGTGTGACGCGTGTAGAAGCCAAGTACTTGCTGGTCTTCCGAACAGCTCTCAAAATAAGAAGGACCCATGTTCCAGGGAATGATGGAGATGATAGAGGGCTACATCTGGAGTACCGAATTAATAAAAGAGTCAATAAAAACCCACATAGAATCCAAGTGACGGTTGTGTGTAGAGCTCTCAGTTATGACAAAGGCTGGAAATGATCTTTACCTCTGACTTTTCCTTCCCCTCAGTAGACTGATTTGTCTCCTGATGAAAAGGAAAAGGGTTTTTGAGCAAGGACTAGAATTAGGATTAGGGTTCAGAAAATTGAAACATATATAAGTGAAGAAATAGTTGTTTTAAGAGCCCTCAAGGACTCTGAGGTCTCAGGTTGATCTTGGCTCGTAGCTCTTGTTTTCATTCCATTCACAGATCTGTGCTCTGATCAATAGCAGAGGAGGCATGTGCTAAATCTGGAGTTAAGTTTGGGATTCAGAAATGTAAAGAACAGGAAGACAATTGATGGTTGGTGTCTATAGAGCTCCTAGAATTTGGAAAAGGATTTCCTTTCTTCAAGTTGAATAGTCCTGGTGAACGGCATAGGTAGAGGGATAGTTTTGGGTCTTAGGTTATGGTTCAGAAACGTAGAGCCTGTAGAAGCCAAGTAGTTGTTAGTATTTTCAGAGCCTTCAAAGTATAGTTGGAAATGCACTACACTTGTCCACTGCTCTGCTAATGCACTTATTTTATACTCATATGGTAACACATTACTTATTTTTGGTTTTGTCCATTTTACAGGCCTTACTGAAATTTGACTCTTCAAAATCTCTCCTGACTGTTACAAATTTACAGGTAAAAAAAATCTGAAAGAGCTAAAAATGTTATGCTAGACATAAATATTTATTTGTCTGGCATCAATTAGAGATTATTTGGTTCAGAAAATATACTTGTTATTAGTAAAAACCAGTAAATAGAAAACATACTCTCCTCAACAGTTTACTATTTCCTAAATTTTAAATTTTATGGCTGACCTTTCAAGGGAGAAGCAAGTACCATTATCACTATTTTTCAGATGAGAGACCAAATATGCACAAATCTGTGACTTGTCTGTGCAAAGCATACTGGTAGAATTATTCAGGTTCTGTCATGATATGTAGGGTCTGGTGTTTATCCTGCTAAAATACCAAGAACATCAGTCATCTAGCCTTATAATTTCTATCAATCAGAGCTGTCCTCATAGATTTGTCCTAATTCAGAATGGGGCTGAAGTCTATTTCTGGGGGAGGGAAGGTGAATCTGTAAACCAGTTAATGAACAGTCATTTCTCATTTTAATTAAAATCACATGTTCATCAATGACTTCTTTTTTGTTTTTCAGTTTTAATCATTTTTTTTTTCATTTGCCTTGTCACAGATCCATTGAGCCAGTAGGGGTAAATGTTAGCAGAATGTGGAAAAGAAGCTGTACCATAAAAACAAATTGATAAAGTAGAAAAAACCCCACTTTTTTCCTCCACTTTTCTCTCTTTTGTTTACAGTAAGCTTGTGTGTCTCCTACAACAGTCGATATTATAAGACAGAAATGAGATGTCTATCTTGACAGCTTTTGATCTAACTAGTTTCAGATTTATTTTGAAGTTGTGCTTTATCTTGAGCTTTTGATTTGAACACTTCACAGTCTATATGGGGCTCTTATTGGTCTCCTTATGATTTTGCAAAGATTTTTTGTAGACTTTCAACTTCTAAATTTATTAATCTAAAGTGAGAATATTAAAATCAAGATAAAACAAGGGCGCTATAATGAATAACAAAAAGATTCTATGAAATATGCTACAATGGTCTGATACAAGAATTTTTTTCCTTGCTTAATCCTTCTAGTTAGGGTAAATTGTAGCAACAGACTTTCCTTTGAGTTGAGATTTCTGAACTACAGATTTACCTACATATTTTTTTGTGACCACCTTAGCTCAAAGGGTGCTATGGACAATGCAGAAAACTAGAACTCAGAGTAATAGCTATAACTTCATCCCACCTTCTAGTGGAAAACTAATCACTGAGGCTGTAGGAGGTGCTACTAAGGGGTGAATTAAGTTTGGAAAGGAAAACAGTAAGTCATCCATAATGACTAAGACCTTAGTACTAATATTGATGTTAATTGTTGATAAACATTGTTACTGATAGAAGCAGAATATGCCTTGAACAAGAAAAATGTAAAATATATCATTTCAAATAGTCCCAATTGTTAACTTTTTTGTAGGTACTGGAAGACATATTTAATTGGAGTCTGTCTTTAACAATGGTGCCGCTGTGCAACCAACAAATTATGAATAAATTAACCTTAGCTAAAATGCATTTCATCATTTGCCTTTCTGCCACAATAAATAATATACCTGAAAAAGTGGAAAAACACATCTATTCTGTTGATAACAACAGCTTGAATGAGCCAAGCAGAATTACAGCATCACATGTAAAAGGTAATTACAAGGGTGGTGGAAAAGTGCATTTATTCTACAACTTGTTTCAAGCATAGATTTTCCACTTTTAACTCCATATGCATTAACATGTCATATTATAAAGAATATTCAATTAAAAGTTGCTGGGAAAATAAGTCATTATTGAAATAATAAGCATTAAGATTTTTGAACTTTTTTTTAGCTAATATCTCTAATATTATTAGAGCTGTATTCCATTCTTCCTCACTTATTTTGATATTGAAAGTCCCATTTATAAATAGAGAAAAAAGGGGCATATTCATCAAATTACTGAGAATGCTTTGTCTGAATCTATTAACCTAGAATCATAGAATCATTTAGGTTGGAAAAGACCTTTAAGATCGTCAAGTCCAACTGTTAACCTCTGAAATTTCATCTAAAATGTATTTTACAGTTGAAACTGATAAAAATTCAAGACAACAGGAACAAAGAGGCACAATGGTGCAGCTCGTTGACTGTAAAGATGAATTAAATATGGCCATGCTGAAGGTAATTTGGGGTTTTAGGAAAAAAGGCATAAGAAACTGCAGATTGATCTAAAAACATTGCTAATGCTTTCAGTGTAACAGAAATTATGATGGGAGGATGGCATGAGTAAGACGACTAGAAATTTCTCTTTCTAATCTGATTGTAATCTTCCTAGCCATACATGAAGTCTTGGTGTTTTGGTGCAGTTTTTCAAACGGTCTCCCTGGGAAATATTGTCATGATCAGATCTCAGTATGACTGTTTCAGCATCAAGGGTAAAGACTGAATGGGATTTCAAGGATAAAATAATTTTTCAGAGGCTGGCGCCTGTACAACATGTCAGAGACCCTTTGATGGGGCAGTATGCTCTACATATAAATGGAAAACCATTCTCTACCATATGTAAATGTGACAAATTTTTCATGTTCCTCTTTCTGATACTTTATTTTGGAGAAAACTTACCACAGCTTATTAGCTTCTTTGTTTGGAGGGAGTTGGTTTGTTTCTTTGTTTGTTTCTTCATTTCGTATTTGTTTTGTTTAATTGTAATTCATGCTTGGCAGTTTCGCATCACAAAAAGACCAAAATTGAGGGCTGACATACTCTTCTTTCAAAGGCATCTTCCACTTTGGACGTATCTACTTTTGGCCATTGTTACAAACAAAGTAATGTACAAAATACAGCTGGAGAAATGGAGGATGATTTCGTATGGTAATTGGTATATGCCATACACTAGAAACTTGAAAGTTGTAGTATAGCTTGAAAACAGCATCTTGAAAATAACTAGAATAGAAATATTAAATTAATTTGAATGGGGCTTGTTTAAGAGACATATTTTTTTACCCTTCTGATTTTTCTTTAACCATTCTATTCTTTTGCGTTTTTTTGGGTAGAGCTCTGAATTCATTGAGGAAACTGGTCAAAAAAAGATATTGGATGATGCAAACCGTTGAATTATTTTTGAATTCTGCTGAGAGCTCTGTGATTGAGATTTTATTTAAAATTAACTTTCTTTTAGATTTGGTTTTTACAGCTTCTTACAACTTTGTTTTTTGGAAAGACTGTAAATTGCAGTTAACTTTCAGGATACATGCTGCACTCAAGGATCTGTCAAAGTATAGAAAAGAATGTAATACTTGAAATATGTTTGATATTGTATTTTAATATTGTATTTTATTGTTTAAAATTACTAAGCATAGTAAGAAGTATAGAATAAAATTACCAAGTATAGCTGTAAGATAATGATAAGAATACAAAATTATTGAGTAATATTACTAAGCCTTAAAATATGTAGTTAAGCATAAATTGCAATAGTACAGGTACAGTTAAGATGTTGCTACTTTCAGCACATTGAATCTGTAAACCTGAAAAAAGCAAAATTAACCTTCCATGCTATTTATAGAAAAGGCTTATTGTATTCAAGTTGATTTGGTTTAGGGTGCGATGGATAGTAGGCTATAAGAGAATAAAATACTTTTAAAGAAATTTTTATTTCTTTCATTATTATTTGAAATCATACAATACCGTGTTCTTCTCTAGGGGATTTTATTGACAGAAGCTGAAGAAAGTCTTAGCCATCTTGTGCAGAACATACAGGACAAATACGAAGGGGAGGTATCTCGGTGTTCTGCTGAAGATTTAGAGGCTCTTACTGAGGCCAAACTTCAGCTTGCTGCTATTTCTCAGCAAAGGCATCAAGCAGCTTTCAGGTAAGTAATATTATGAACGCCCTTATGTTGCACAGCCTTGACTGCAGAAGATTAAAAAAAAAAAAAAATCCAGCAATTTTTTCTTTGAATTCTTTACATCTACATTAATATTCTAAATCTTAGTAACCAACCATAATAACCCCAGTAGTATATCTACAAATGTAAGTTACACTGGAATTTCATTTTTTATTATTGCTTTATTTTACTTTTTAAAAGATCATCAGTTATTGGCCTATGATTTCTCTGAGGTGCTTTTGTGATAGTGTTATACAAAAACAAAGAAAAAGCTGCAATGTTCACTGTTTTTGTTAAAAGTAAAAGTCTGCATATGTTAGGTCATGCAGTTTTTATAATTTTAAAGTGTACAGCAAAGCACTAATGTTACCTCTGAACTCCTGAATTCTGCTTTGTTCTAGAATGCCCTGTATTACTGTCCTAAAAGAACATTTCCTCTTGATGTACTTATTGGTGTTGGATTAAAATGTTAAAATTATATTTTTAAAATTAATTTGATTAAAAAGCATTGATGTAACCTTTAACATATTAGAATAGAATTTAGCAGACATTAGTTATTTGTTAGCGATAGTGTGTAAAATACTGTTGTATTTACATGATCTGCCAGATATTTTCTCCAAATTATAATTTCCAAATTCTGTAATTTTTTTTGAGGCTCTGAATTCTTTTGGAGAACTTAATGAAATTACAATTGTGCTGTTCTTTGAATATATGGGGCATACAGAAACATTAATTCTTTAAGATGTTAAATTCTGAATGTGTTTTTGATCTTTTAGCTAAGAGGATTCTTCTGTTTAGCATACCTGTGATTTTAGATTAATTTGTATAAGAAGGCTAAAAGTTTAACAATACATAATTTTTATTAGTGTCAAGCTCTTTTTATCTAATTTTTTATTAGGTTGAAAAATCTTTGAGGGTACAAATTTTTAACTAGAGATGCAGCATATAGAGGTGTAGTGCTGTCACTTTCCAGACTGTCCTGAGATTAGGTAGAAGGTAATCAGTATTTGTAACTTCTGTTTGGTCTAATCTGACTGAACACATGAAAATTATTACAGTAAATCTTACATTATAATAAGCACCAAGCAAAATGCAAAATTAACATATTTTTATTGCTGGAATACTGGTGAAGATTGCTGTAACGCTCTTACTGATGAAGCAGTAGGTGATTCAGCAGGTCAACAGAAAAATCAGTCTCAATTTTTTTTTTTCCTTTTTACCCAATTAGCAAAAAATAAAAGCAAACTATCTTCATTCTTCCAGCTGTCTCAGATGAATAAACAAACCTCCAAATGAGAGCGCCTTTAAATAGCACAATTCCTTTTTAGCTGCTATGGTAGAGCAATAGAAAAATAAAATTAACAAGGATAGGAGCTTCACAGTGCTGTATAGAGTACTGAATTGAAGACAGAGTGCTGCAGCATGGTCTTTCACCTGGATTTTGTTTATGTTATTTTGAAAGATAGAAGTTTCCCAAAAGTTCAGATATTAGGGCTGTAATAATTTAGTAGAAATGTCATTAGTGAAGATGTGAAGTAAGAACTTGTAGGCTATTTGTGGACATTTCTCGTCGTGAAATATCAATCTATTTCAGTGCCTTTTGAATTAGATTAATTTACCATAAATTTGTCAAAGAGAAAACAACAAATCATTGGACAGTGACCTCATCATGCTTTTGAGTGCCATGTGGATTTTATAAAATTATTGTATTAGTAACTAAGGACCAGTATCCAGCCTTATGAAATATCCTGTGCATAAACCTGGTTTAGCTTGATCCTAGGTTTGCTAAAACCTGTTTTAGTAGAGTTCTGACCCAGACTCTCTCACCCTGCTAAACTGGTTCCAGTATGCAGGCCATTTTCAGTGCAGGACCCTTCTTTTTGACATGCAGTTATATCCTGAGTGTAGTTTCTCTTTGGCTTATAACTTGCCTTAGACTGAAGAAACTTTTTTTAGAGTATCAAGGGTTCCAATGGATGTCAAGCATTTTATGGTTCCTTTTTTGGGAGACTCAAATTTTTCACAGGTGTTTTAATGGGCCTTATATATTGATAGTGGGTAGATAGCAGGAAAAAACCCCCACCAACAAACAAAGCAAGGGTTTGGGTTTTTTTAACCTATTTTGCAATTTTATTGCACTGCCATCCATGGAAACTGCTGATATATCTGCCTCAGATACAAATGAAACATTCCTTCAGACAGCTGAATGTTTCCTGCCTGCCAGCCTAGAAATCAAACTTTGCATGATATTACAGAAATTCATCATTTTTTTCCTTTGGCGAAATGACTTAGTGGTGAAATTGTTATAGTCAGCTGTACTTCCCTATTTTGATCATCTTGTCACTTTCTGATTCAGCTGATGAAAGGATGTGTATTTTGTCAAGGGAAATATATAGACGCATCACTCTTACTGACAGCAGAAGAGGGTCACAAAAATTTCATCAAGGGAAGCTTCTACATTACAGCTTCTGTCTTGCAAAAAATTTATGCCTCAGAATAAGTTTATGTATAGGACTAATTCCGTTGATCTCAAGGACAGTACTTACGTGGTGTCCCCTCTAAGTATGTGAGCTTTCTAATTACCCAAATAGGTGCTTGTCTGCTTAAAACAATACATATAAGAATCTTTGGGCTTGTGGTCTACCTCTTACTCATGAAATTTATGTGTAAGCATGTAGGTAAAAATGGCCTCATTTTCAGAATTGCTAAATGTTGACAACAGCAGTAAACTGGAGGCAGTGGTGCTCAGGAAGTTAGGTTAATATTTCTTAAAAGCCTGCATATACTCTTGGGTGCTGCACCTTCTCCAACTTACTTGAGAAATGTTAGCCGTAGCATCTCAAAGAATGTTTTGAGAAATGTCAGGTTTTGCTCTAATTTTAACCTTGATGCCTGGTTTCAGGGGAAAACTCTCCTTAATAAAAAGAAAGAAAAGCAGTTGGGATATTTCATTGTGTTATCCTTTCTGTCTGTGTTGCATTTATAAGCAGATTCTGTTTCATCTTTTCCATTGTTAGAGAGAAGGTTATCATCAAATTCAACATTGATTTATTCTGGTTTCATTTAGTCAAATAAAACTGAGGTAAAGGGATGATGAAGGAGATTCATAAGGATTGAATTCTGGGAGCTGAAAGACGAGATATTAACAGTTTTGGTTCTCATTGTTACTTTGGGGTCGTTTTGTGCTGAATTGGTGTAATCCATCCAAGTCTGCTTCACAAAACCACCAAGCAGGATAGAATCAGAAATGACAGGAAGGCTTTAACTACCCTCTTATGTCTGGAGGTTATCCATCCTGTGGTTAGATACATGTTGGCACAATAATGTGAGTAATTTCAGAGTAGTGCTGCTCTTGTTCTGACTTCTTTGTGCATGATCAAGAACTTTGCCTTTACAATGATTAGTCTAGAACTTCTCAAAAGCAGTAAATTCACACAGAGCCTGAATCTCTCTTGCATTAAAAGCTCTTTACAGTGTTCTGGCAGTGTGAAAAGGACTTACGGTGTTCATAATTTTTTTTTTCTTTTTCTTCATAGCAGCCAGTCTCTATGTAAAAAGACAGCATAGATGAGAATTTTGGTTATACATTTTTAACAATCAGCCTGCTGAAAAATCTTTTAAGAGGTGAGCTAGGGATACCCTCAGGTACTTTTGCATCATTAGGAAAATATGTTTCAGCGGGTAGAGAATAAGTAGAATTGTAAAAAAAATAAATAAATAAAACAACCCCAGAAATGTTTTAGGGAAGAGGTAGGAAAGTAGAGATTTACAGATGAAGGGGAAAATGTACAATTACAGATGGGAAACTAATACCATGAGACATTGGTTTTGGCAGTTCTCAGAATATTTTGAGTAGCGTGTTCTTTGGGCAACAAATCCTGTTGTGAAAAAGATCCTACTATGTTGGTTTTGCAATTGTCTTCATATCATGAAAATAATAGTATTCACAAAGACTGCTGTTATACATTTTTATAGATGTCATGAAAATTGAGCAGTATATCTGAAAGCTTTAAAAAGACAGCATAAAAAGGAAAAACCCCTAGTAGTTAATATTTTAAGAAACCTGAAATATTTTGAGATCCCAACTCACAATTTTTTGAAATGTGGGGTTGAATGCTGCACCAGTCCTAACAGCGTCTGTATCTTTCTAGATGCTTTTTGGGGTGAATTCCAGAAAAGGATTTATGAGGGGGAGCGGGGGGCAGTGGGCTCAGTGCCATGTGATTGCTTACTGACAAGGTTTTGCCAGGATTGCACATGGCTCAATTTTTGGTTGATGGAGTTTACTAAGATCCTGTGAGTATTTGGTCATGTGGATTTAACAGAAGGTTTAACATATAGCCTGGAAAGGCTTTAAGGAGGAAGCTGTTTTCTTATCTCTCCAGTTGTGGATGAGATACAGAACTCTCCTATTTTGTCATTTTCGGTATGTTTACATCTTCTAATTTCTAAAAGCCCATCCCTGAAGACAGATATGTGTAACTGAAGCTTATACTGGAGTTCTGTTTTGATTGTTCCAACAGATTTATCTTGGTTTATCCATTATTATTGGGGTACGTCTGTTACTGGCAAAACTTTTTCTGTTACTGCTGTTTTCTCACTTTCATACTGCAGTGCCTACAAATTACAGAATATAATCCAAGTGCAATTTTTTTGTTCTACTGAAGCAAAAATTGATAACTGCTGACAGACATCTCTGACATAATCAGAAATGAAGTAACCATCATAATAAAAGCATAAAATGGCAAATATCATTAGTATTTTTTAATAACATTGTTCTGTATCACAGTGTTGCTTTGGCTTTCTCTGCAATTCGACTTCTCCAAAATGCAGAAATTTTTAGGATGGAAGTGACACATTTTCAAGAAGAAAAGGATGAAAGGGAGTGTTTGGTATGTGTGGATATTTGTTTTAAACTACTATTGCTTAGTATATGAAGTCTTGTATTGAGTGATTTTCAGAATACTAGAACATAGCAGTCATCTGTACTATGTGGTTACCATTAACCTGGGGAGAAAGTGATGTATGACATGCTTCAGATACCTGCTTGCCTATAGTGTATTCAATATGTCTATAATCATAATTTTAATTTGTACGTGGTTAGGAATTACAGTTTTTGTTTGTATACTCTCAAATGGCAGCATTGAAAATCTTTTGTTTAAAAACACCCAAACAAACAGAAAGTGAAAAAACGGGTATCAGGTGAAAATCTTGTATTATTCAGTTAAGGTATTTTAGGCTTTTTGATTGAAAACCTACTCAGAGTATCCTCTTTCAAAGAGCTAGACCAACCACTTCACGTCATTGCTGTGTTCCAAATTCAGCAAGATTTCAGCTGACTTCTGTTGTCTAACACATAGGGATACTGACCTATACTTTGGAAAGCCAATGTGCAAAACCTATTGGTAATACACACACACTCACTCTCGAGCGTGCAGTGAGTCAAACTGACTCACGTGGACAGAGCAATTGAGCAGTGAGGCCAGATTTGTAACACACATAACGAGACTGGACTTTTCTTGCGTGCAGTGTAATTATTCTCTGTCTTTGTTGCATATCAGGGTCTTCTGTCTTTCTGCACTTGCTCCTACATTTTCTTAGGACTGCCCTGTAGCCAGTAACTGAGTTAGGGCTATTTTTTTTGACTCATTTGCATCAATGCAAGTCACTCATTATGATTTTTTATATAACACAAGTGGTGCACTGTCCATTTATTTCTTGCTAGAACAAACTTTAGAATATAGACTATAGAATTTTAGTAGTAGAAAGACTGTTCATAATACGTGAAGATGGCACAGGGACTTGAGCTGAGGATTCTCCCAAACACTTCCAGTACTATATTACATTAATATTTGTTTCTAATCACCAGAAACACTAAAAAACTAGAAATCAAAAATGAAAAATTTCTTTCTAATCACTAGTGAGGTACCCAAACTTGATATTGATCCTGCTTTACAATTAGACTTTTATGTGCATTAGAGTTTTGTGTAATGTGCCTGTTTGAGGAATAAAATCCAAACTATTAGAATTACTCTCCATTGACGCATATAGTATATGGATATATTTATGGACTGTCCCATAAAAACTGGTTTAATTATAATTTGTTACAATTCTTTTTTTTTTCCTGCAGATTAGAAGTTAAATAATAATCAGCCTCCTGTTATTAAAAAAAAATGTATCTACCCTTCAAATAAACTTCTGGTTATAATTATGTTATTATTTGTAATATATTTGTATTAGTTTGATTTATTTTTAGACTGACACTGCTCTGTTGCTTTGTTTGTAATAAAGTAGTTGACTTGGAAAGTAAAATTTCTCTTGCTTTTGGAAATTATTAGGATGCGTATGTTGAAGATGTTCGACTGCCTCACAGTATAACAGCACAAGATCACATGAATGTACATCTGTGGCTAAGGTGTCGTACAATGTTAGTGACTGCGCTAGTAACACAGATACTTGGTGTTGGTGATATGGAAGGTATTACCCTTTTTTGGTTTAGACTTTTGGATTATAATGGGCAAGTGAGCCTATTCAGACACAATTCTTATTCATAAATAAAAAATAGTAACATTAGTTTGGGGGCTGTATTATCACTGAGCAATTATTTGTATTAAATTCATCCAATGCAATAAGGAAAATACATTCCTGAGTACAGTCTCTCCCTAGAGCATGTAAACACAAAGCATTATAATTATTTTCTTTTAATGATAATATCTTTTGATAAATCACTTGTGTGTGAAAAAGTTTCAAATGTTCTAATATAATTAAGTATGCCTGTTTGAAAAAAGTTGCTACATACTTCTAGTTTCAAAAGTCTCAAAAGTTTTTTTCACTTTTTATATCTCCAATAAGTGAAATGTTCCTATATATCCCCCCAAAATGGTCCAGATTCTTTTTTTTTAAAGAATTTAAGCGAGACTACAAAATACATTTATTGCAGTTTGATTGTGAATAAAATGTTTTTCATTCCTTAGTTCTATGAACTTGGTATAAACTCTGACACTCACTGAAGTATCAAAATCACAGTCTAAGTCTGTAGCCAAACTCTTATTTGAGCTCTTCTGAATAATTCCTGTGAAGGCTGTTACTATTTTGGGATGATAACTAAGATCAGATTTTTGAATATGTAGAATATGTTTTATGGGTGAGAATGACATCTGATCTACAAAATCTAATTATTTCTTCTGGTGGCTTACATATAAAAATGTATTTGCATGAACTTAAACCAAGTGCAGTGTAAAAACTAAGTAGTTTTTCTTTCTTTTTAAAGTGAATTTGGCACAGAATCGATGAAATGGTAAATGTAGAATCTATAATGTCAGATTTTCTGTAACTTTTTAGCGTGGAAGTGACTTCTTAAGAATGGTAGAAGATACCGTGAAGTCTTTTCTATTGTATTTTTACTATTATGTATTCCCTTCTTTTAGAAAGGGATGTGGCTGAACGCAGAAGTGTGATAAAAGAAGTAATACTAGAGGCAGAAGCCTTTGGTGACAGCGAGACTCAGGCTGAAATGATGGTGCAAGCTGCAATTCTTGACCTGCAAGAAAAACGTCCCGTGGCAGGCATTAAACTTCTATTGCAGGTTTGAGTACAAAGGAGAAACTGTTCGCTTTTCTTTGACGCATTTTTCATGTGGTCAGAACAGCTGATGCCAGCATTAAATAAGCTTGAAATAGTGCCTCTAAAATAGATTTTTTTTTTCACTTTGTGTGATTTGTCCTCATAAATAGACAGCAAAAGTTGTAACTACTTTGGTTTATGTTGTCTATGTCCAAACAGAATACCATCAGTTTACTCCAAGAGGATACATTTATTTCCCCTCCAGCTTCTTTGACTCTTGTGAAAAGTATCCTTCTGCTGGCAGACATACTAACACTGCAAACAGGAGAGGATACAGAACGTTGCTCTTCTACAGCGGAACCATTAAACTTACTAATTTTGGCACATGAGCTTACCATTAAAGCAGTGAGTATATGTTGGTGATTTACACAGCATTTGCAAATCCTTTCAATTATCTTAACTATCTATTCCGGAAGCTATTGTAACAATTTATTAAAAAGGGCTATTCCTATTAACTGATCACTTCAGTTTTCCCTAGATCACATGGTGTAAAGAATAATTCATCTTGCCAGACTTGTTTATGCATATTCATCATGCATACTCATGTATGTAGTCCGGTATTTTCATACAATTTAAAAATAATGAATAGTTGCAAAATGTACAACCATATGTGAAAACTGAAGTAGGAATTTTGACTTTACAGCATGTCCCGATCGCCTTATTTCCACGAATGAAAAGTTTGACTGGTCCACACATGTTATTTTCTTTTTCTTTTCTGGCCTTTGTTGGATGTCACATTTCTTTGTAGAAATGACAGTTTCTTTCTAGGGCTTGGGTTACTTGGGAGATCTATTTCTTAAAGACTGATTCGAGGGAGCTTGCTTTTAGAAACCAAAGCCTAACATTAATAAATTTGATCAAGAGTTCATTGAAATTGTTCGTTTGCTACCAAACTCCTCTCCAAAGAAGACAAGTACAAACTGAAGTAAAGGAGTTCAGGAGCATCAAGCCCTTTTCTAGTGCTCTTTTACAAGACACATTTGAGTTCCAGGCTTTTGCTATACGTAACTTACTTTTTCAAATTGCTGTTTAATTTGCTGTCTGCAACTTGATTTTACAAAGCTTACTCTTTTCATAGATTTTTGTTTGTGGAGAACCCATTGAACGGCAAATAGAAGACAGTACATTGACTTGCCTGGTCCTACCTACAAAAAATATCTACTTGCCACATATCAACTTGCTAGCCCAAGTCAAAATGAGAATTGGTAAGAAAAATGCAAGTCATTATTATTTTTAATTTTTCATTAATTTTCATTCATATTTCATGCAACAGCAGATAAACTGATGCATCAGAAGTGAATGTAGTAAATCAATTGTTTTCATTATACAAATAAAATACTTGGAAAACCAATAGTAGATGCCTGTTTGGCTCCATGCAATGTGTGTAAGCAAGGTACAATTCTTATGGGAACTGCGATCAGCGAAGGCTTAAATATTAATGTTATAGCTTGATGAAACTAATGGGAACTTCAGGTTTTTTTAAGTGGTAGTTAACAATCTTTTCCAACTTCTGTACAAAGCATTCATTCTGTGAAAACTTCGTGTATATGTTCCATCTCTCTGGAAGCAGTTATCTGGGAACTAACTAAGGTATCAAATCATATGGAATAATAGTGATAGTTTTCTATCCCAATAAAATACATAGTGTCTGTTATTGTTGTCACCCTTTAATTGAACAACTTTTCTTGGTAACTTTTCTTTATATAGAAACTTGGAAATATGCTGAATAGTAACAAAAGATAACCTTTAAGATTTGTCAGACTTGTTGCTGTATAGCAAATATAGGGAGAGGGATATTGTCTCCATGTTCCTTCTGCTAAGCTTAATTTGGTGTATATCAGATTTATAATGGACTAGAATATCTAGAAATCACTTACTGCACTTTGGTTCGCATTGTGGAGCAGCCTCAGAGTGTTCTAGATTCTTTTTCAGGAAGATATGCTCCAGGAGCATATCGGTGCATCCCAACCACTACTTTGTATTCAGCCCTTAGGACTAGAATAGCGGTAGTCCGAAGTAAACACTCTGAAATGCATCTTCTGTTGCTGTCAGGCCTTTAACACCAGCTGGTTTGCTCTAGAGATCCACTCTTATTGTGCTTTTTACTGCTTGTCAGTGCAGGCATAGCCAGACTAACTCATACTAATGGCCACGCTTGACCAGTTCCTGTTTCTGAATCCACATTTTTAGGAAGAGCCTATGAATACAGATGGATATTGGGGAGTACAGTTTAAGAGGTATGCAATACGTCAAAGAAGCCTTTAGCACTGGTTAGTACAAAAGGCATTTGGGAATTTGGAAATCCTCAGAGAGGTTTGTTTTGCTTACAACTGCCAGGTGAAATAAAGTTATGAAATGCCTTACTTCTAGTCTTTCCAGCTAGTTTGTGAAAGGGTTGATTTGTGTAGCCTGAGCTGCTTCTGGATGGCCTAGGTAAACCTCAATGGCATCATAAAGTAGTGAAACAACATTATAATTCTGTATTTATATCCATTAATCACTTGGATTTTTGAGAATTGGATTGTAACAGTAGATATGTAATAGCATTTATCTAAGGAAGTTCCTTCTTTTTGCATAAATTGGTTTTCTATTATATAATTTACTAAAACGGTCTTTTTTTTTTCTTTTTTTTCCCTCTTAGGACTCACATTAGCTGAAAAAGTAGCTTGTACACCTGCAAGAGGAGATCCACTGCAATGGCTACGTGCTGTCAAACATTTAGAATCAGCATTGGAGCTTTGCAGAGCATCTGCAACAAAAAAATTAGATATGGAAGCTGAACTTCTTTTTCAGATAGGTAAATAAAACCCAGTTTGTACATCATGCTTGCCTTCCTAGGCAGTGTTATGCATGTGGCCTCTCTTAAAATGGAGACATTTCACTGTAAATATAGAACAGCTTTGGATATTTCTCACCCTGTCTAGCTGCAGGACTCTCTCTGTATGTTATCAGGGATCAAAGGGTGTAGCCAATGAGATTAAGGACACTGTAGAAAGCTAATCAGCTTCTTTGCATCAGTCTGAACTAAAGAAGATGAAAGGCTCAAAGTATTTCTAAATGATTTAACAAAGCTAATGAATTACACATTGTTCGCATGCATTTGGATTTTAGTGGCATTATGTTTTGCACCAGGAGGTGTTGGTTTGTTAGGATTCCAGCCAGAAAGACACTCAAGACTCTGTAAAGTATCTCTTAAAATGCCATTTATTGGAGTTAACACTGCAACAGTTACGAAGAAAAAGAGGATAGTGTAAATAATCTTATGTCCCTACAGATGCTGAGAACTCCAAGTTGTGCAGTATTGAACGTGCTTCCAATAGGGGAATAGCACAACATGCAGATCCTGGCTGTGGAAAGGTTGCCTCATTTTGGTCTTTTGAGCTGTTAGAGGATTTTCTTAAAAGAAAACAATTGTATTCATCATTTCTACTGTCAAATAAAAAGCATATTCGCATACGAACTTCTTGCTGCACTTTCACAGAAAGGGCAGGCGGTGGAATCACTGGTACTGAGAAGATGGTGCCAGCAGGCTCTTGTGTTACAGCTGGCTGGCAACATTGATCCTGCGGGTAAAGGATGCGCGCAGCACAACACAGGCCCGACGGCCACGCTGTATGGGCGGCATGGCACAGCGCTGTGCCTGTGCATTAACTCCTCCGTGTACAACGGTCTTCTAGTTAGGATCACTACATGTTTGGAGTCATTATGATTCCAAAGTTTGATTATTTTAGCTACTCTGGGAAGTGATTTGTTATACAAGCATTGTGCATTACATTTTAAACAAACTGGAAAAGATTTTGCTTATCAGGAAGAGAATAGGTAATGCACTATGTTGTTCAATTTCCCTGGAGGGAAAAACAGGTTGGGTTTTACAGAAAAAAAAAAAAAAAAATCTTGCAAATCTACTTTCTATATTTCTTTCTTAGGTAAGGTGGAACGCCAGATAACTGAAACAGGCAATAACAGGTCATCTCGAGCTGTTGAAACCCTGTTGGAAGCTATAAAACTCAGCCAGCAACATGATCAAAAACTTGAGTAAGAAACTAGCTATATAACTTCCAAAAGAATTTTAATCACACATGAATATAGTGTTTTGACAGTTTTCTGAGATTTGGTGTGGGACTTCTATTATGAAGTATCTTTTATGTTTTGGAGAGTTTTCTGTTGCAGTATAGAAGAGCTACTGTATATTTATTCCCTTACTTAAAACAAATGCTGAGAACATTATTTAAAAGCATATTTTAGAGCATACAAAGTTACAGATTTCTCTTCTATTTCCAAATTTGTACCCTCTCTGTCAAAACCAGGAACAGGGCTATCAATTAAACTGGGGTTTTATTCATATTTCAGAAGATGAGCTGTGGTCTGCCCCCTTCCAGATAATTGAAATCCAGCTTGAAAAGGTTAGCAGCCAGAAACAGTCAGAAGAAAGAGGCAGAAGGAGTATAGGAAATGTGTTTGTAACAGATATCAGGACAGTGACTTTGGCATTAGTTATCAGCATAGAAGATGCCTGAAGAGCTGAGCCAAGCCAGCCAATAAATTCTGTCAAGCAGCTCTGATCCATTGGACTTTAGTTTTTTTTTAGTTTCTTGACCAGTCTTAATGAATAATGTGCCACGTCTGGTTACAGACAGTGTAAAGGCAGCAATTTACCTTGCTTGTTTGGGTATTCTGTTACTTAAGTTAATGAACCAGAACTCTGAACGTAGAAGCAGCAGCATAGTAATAAACCTCTACAGGCAGTCAGCATGATGGAAGATAGTACAGAAATGGACTGTGGTGATGTTTTGCAAGTTTAATTTGCTACACTCTTATTTAATTTACTACCCTCTTTCTGAAAGAATGTACAGCAACATTGATGGACCTTGGCTTTCTTATTTTAGAGAACTAAGCATCCCAATCACCTTTATATAAGCCCGCTGATATCTATGGGATTGTTTAATTAAAGTTGTTTCTTGATATCTCAAAACCTTTTTTTGCTAGCAAGACTAGAAAGTTAACTAAATTGTCACCAACTAAGTGTAGAACTTGCCATCTTCCCACTTAGCTTGCCCTATCTTGAACTGTACAGCACTCTGCTTTTGTATTTTGCTTTGCACAAATCATACCAAAGCTGGAGTTTATTGTACTACATAAACACCTAACCCTGTGCAATATGACTCTGGCCAGAACAGTAACTATGTGAGCAGGAGTTTGTTGCTATGCTTAGGAAAGCTAATTCATAGGTGAGACCTGGAGAGCTCTACAGAGCCAGGAGGAACCTGCATAAAAAGACTGTTCTAAACCTACAGGGAATAGAAATGCTGGAGAAGTTCTCCAGATACAGTGATTTTTAGCAGGTTGAGGGAAGTAATTCTGCCCCTATGCTCTGCTCTGGTGAGACCCCACCTGCAGTTCTGCTTTCTGCTCTGGGGTCCTCAGCACAGGAGAGACAGGGACCTGTTGGAGCGGGTCCGGAGGAGGGACACGAAAATATTCCAAGAGATGGAGCACCTCTCCTGTGAGGACAGGCTGAGAGAGTTGGGGTTGTTCAGCCTGGAGGAGAGAAGGCTCCAGGGAGACCTTGTAGCAGACTTTCAGTACTTAAAGGTGGCTTACAAGAAAGGTGGGGACAGACTTTTTAATAGGGCTTGTAGCGACAGGACAAGGGGTAATAGTTTTAAAGTAAAAGAGGGTAGATTCAGACTAGATATAAGGAAGAAATCTTTTTACTACAAATCTACAATTTGTAGATGCCCTAACCCTGGAAACGCTCAAGGTCAGGCTGGACAGGGCTCTGAGCAACCTGATCGAGTTGAAGATGTCACTGCTCACTGCAGGGGAGTTGGACTAGGTGACCTTTAAAGGTCCCTTCCAACCCAACCCATTCTATGATTCTATGATTTTTGCCTGGTTTATAATACTACTATACTACTGTAAAAATAACTGAAAGGAGAAGGAAGTATAGGAGGAGAATGGGAATTGGTGAGCATAGTCTGTCTGAAGATGTAGAGTGTTCTGGTACAGAATTCAGAACTGAGAAGGTTCCTCAGCTGAGCCCAATGAAGAAACGAGAGACTGTTTTCGTCACTGTGGGTACTTGCGCTGATTCTTGGAAGAGTTTGACTGAAGACTCATACCCAAATTCAGCCAGCCATGTTTCAGGGAAACCAGGACAATGAATGCCTTAACTTGAGAAAGGAAGAGGAACCCATACAGGTTCTGTACAGAAGGATCACTTCCCTTACAGAATTACAGTTTTCTTACTAGATGTTTGCATTTATTTATTTATGGAATATTTGTAACATAATGCAAATTGTATTTGACATACTCTTAAATCAGTGTGTTATTTCTTACACATACCATAGGGATGTTTTAGACACAGTAAGACTTTAAAACAGGATCACATGGCTTTCTGAAAGAAGGTACACTTTAAGTAGATGATGGGGGCTGGATGAATGATTTATTTGGTGAGGCTGTCTGTCTAGTCTTACGCAGGAGTCGGATTGTATCATTGGAATGCTTACTTTGATAGTAACATTGATTGATCTGTGTGTTGTTTCTTACAGGTTAATAAGAAGATCATACCTTGAAATAGCACTTTTATATTTGCATTTTGCCACAAATAATGAGGATGTGTCACAGCCAGATAAGATGGTGCCTTCCAAATCAAACGTATGTTTTCTATCTTTTGGGTAGTGGCCTCTTCAAAGCAGGAAATATATTTCTGTTAGAACATTGTGCACCTTGCCAGACTATTACTTACAGTGCCTTATAAATCATACTGATACTGAAAATCCTACTAGAAAAATCACACAAAGAAATCATAGAGTACAGCAGTAGAATTTTATCTTGTTTGATGCTATTTTTCATGTTTATTGCATTGAATGATAACATTTAAAATATTTTTCTGTATAAAATAGGAAGAAACAGAACCAACAGTGTTTTCATTTCTGATTATGTACTGATTAATTTGTACCTTGCAAAGAAAACATAACATTCACTCCTGTTTTTTAAGTGCTAATATTTATACTTTAACAAATTTCAATTTTTCAGTAGAAATATGAGTGACAGCATGAGAAATATAAAAGGCTTTAACCATGTTAAAGTGGCTGAAAGCCATAGATTCGAAGTATAATGTGTAACATAAGAGAAAGGAGGTAATTAAGATTCCAGAAAATGGACAATTATAGCAAAACTATACAATAGTGACCGTAGTATGAGCTGATCTGAGAAAATTTTTATAGGAGCAGCCAGTTATTATGGTCTGGATAGTTTTTTCAATTTTAGCAATTAATCCATGGATTTACAATCAATGCTGATTTTTACAACTTGCAAATAAAACAATAATTCTGTAAGTAGGAGGGCTTTTTTCTATATTTAAAGTATATTTCACCATAATATATTTGGAATCCTAATTATGAACTGGTGTATAATTTTAGAACTCTTCTGGAGAGCTCTCTTCTCCTGAGGAGGCTCTGAAATCAGAAGGCTACAAAGTACAGTCCTGGATTGCAGTAAGAGCAGCTACACAGGTTGGTGCAATATTCTGAAGAAGTAATTTTGGGTTTTTTTTAATTTCATCTTATGCTACTTACACATGCAAACAAGACAAGAATTAAGGTTTCCTGAAATTTCTAGCATGGGTCTCATTTGAGGAAATGAAAATTACACTGTCTGAGTAGTGCATTTAATCTCTCTTGGACAGATCTGACTCTGTTTACCTCAACTTTGATTCAGTGCAAATAAAACAGCACACTGCCTGATATGTGTGCGCATGTATTTGACATGTGGGTAGACATCAGTGGCATCCAGGCGAGGATATCTGATTTGAAATCACTATGTGGTAATTAAGCTGTCAGCAGTAATGATTTATTTAAGTATAGTATGTACCATATGTCAGAGAGAAATAGAATATTTTCCTGACTTTAAAAAATATGGTATGTTGAGTAATTAATTTTTTGTCATCATCTTGGTAATCTCAGATTTTAAAATCTATGTAAATATTGTAGTGAACTGGTTCTGAATAAAATAAATATTATTTTTAGGTCAGTGAAGCTGTGCTTGCTTCTCAGCTATTAATTGGAATGAAGAGTGTTAAAGAACACAGCATGAAGGACGCAGTGCAACAGAAAATCCCAGAATTTGCTTCCATGGATCTTCTTACTTCATACAGAGATTTCTTACCTGGTATTCCTTTATGCCTAGTAATATTAGAACATTAAATAACTAATAAACTATATATGCCATGTAATCTAGTACCTAATTTTCATTTATGAAAAATTACAAGTCAAATTTGCAAAGTAAAAGCAAAATCCTCATCCTGCATAGCAGCACAAAATATTGAGTAGAGTAATGGGTCTTTAAATATCAGCCTGTGCATGTGTTCAACAGGTTAAGAAAAATTGCATTGTTTGCATACTGTGGCTCAGAAAGACAGAGTGCACATACTGCCATACTTTTATTAAAACAGATGGACCTTTGTCACAGGACTTCCCCAGACTGCTAGAATAAGTCTTGGCCCCCCTGTCAGTCATCACTGCTTTTTTTTTTCAAACACTGATTTAGAACAGATTTTTTCCCCTAGGTATATTAGCTTTCCCTTGGAGATTTTCAGTTTTAATTTTGATTTTGCAAAGACATGTTGGTGTTGAATAGCTTGTCTCTCCCTGCTTCCCTGCCCCCCCCC